GAATATATAACACATCACAGGCGGACCTACGGGGAGGTAGGGGGCTTTCGGGCTGATGCCCTCCCCAAAATGGTAAAATATAATCAGGTTTTCTGAAAACTATGATCTCTAAAATACTTAAAAAGTATTATTGTTCGTCTAATTAAAGTTAATTGGACTTTTAAGTTTAAGAAACTATGTACCTAAATGAAATGGTGTTTAAATAGTTTCAGTCTTTCCTCCGGGGTAATTATCGAAATATATACATACAAAAAAAATCTTTCCGGCTGAAGCCCCTGTCCCAAAATAAAATCCTGGATCCGTTAGTGTAACACATTCATTTAAAACAATTAATTACTATACTATTAAGAAAAACACGAATGTTAAAACATAATTGCTAGTTAATAGACGAATTTAAAAAGAAATGTTTAACTTAATAAAACGTGAAATTGGATCTTTTGTAAAACCTTTGAGATTCATCCAAAATATCTACGAGTATATATATATATATATATATATTGTTGACTCTCAAAATCTTTTTTTTAAATTATGTGTATGCGAAATATATGTAAATATATATAACAGTTTAACTAACAATAAATAACAACAGAAAAGCCTCATATTGACATTAGTAGGTCAAATGCTAGAGGATCGAGAAAAGTCGAGCGCTCTCATTTGTCTCCGATTTAACAGTTTTTATCTAGAACTAACCCTTATTTCACATTTAGTTAATTATCAAATTGGTTCATAGTTTATATTTATCGATTTTGTATTACTAGTTACATTTTTAAATAGATAATTATTTGGTATAAACATAATTAAAGGTACTTCAGATGAAGATATTTTAAAAATTCGGTATTTCAGTTGTACTATTTCAAAGAAGACAACATCTGCCTGATAATAAAGATCATTTGATTTTACATTGATGTAACAAGTTTAATCAAAATATTTAGAGTTGTTTTCGAGAATGTAAAATTGATATAAATAAAATAAAATAATTTAAAGTGCCAATACCGCTCAGTCGATTTTGGCGAAAAAGTTGCTGTAAAATCTCAGGCCTTTAATAAATACGTAATTTCAGTTTCGTAAGACCTTTGAGCTTGACTGTTCACACACACATATAGACCATTTTGCTAAACTTTTTTTTTTGTAAGCAGGGGCCATTAAAACGTGCATTTCCGTTGAAAGCTCGGGTCCGAGATTTTTCGCGATCGCAATGTTTTCCTTGAATATCTGTTTCATACATTCAGTGAGGAGTGTTGTGATACATCTAGATGAAACGGTGCCATCGCCTAACCGCTCGTAACCTGGAATCGATGAGAGATTACGAGTTTCGGTAGAGGCAGTTGGCCGAGCAGACTAATTGGCAGGTTATGGTTCATTTGGCCCCTTTGATATCGGACCGAAGCAGAACGGTAATGGCCAACTATCGCAGGCAGGGCTCGAACCTGTACATGTGTAACCGTTGGCCTAACTGTTCGACTCCTCTTTAGGAGCTCTTCGTCGATTCCGGCTGATGAATATCCAATGCCCCTTCGTATCAAGGGCTAATTGAAAACAATGGAACGTTTAACTAACAGTTCCTTCATTCATCACTCAATCTTCTGGATTGATAAAGGCCCCTACACACAGAATGCGATATGTCTCGGCAACACGATATTCCTGTAGGCGATTTAGTTTTATTACTATTTATTTCATTATAGCAGTCACACAGTGTGATAATCCGCAGTGATACCGACAAAGGATATCGTATCGCTGGAACGTATCGAGTTCTGTGTGTTGGAACCATAACTCAAACAGGCTATTTAAAATGTATACAATATTGATTTTGAAATCTGATTTTTTTTTTTACATAAAGGATGTATACAGTAGAATTGTTGAGGTTGTTCAAATCTTCGAAGAGTTTCATTTTTATTTCACCAAATAATTCATTATAAATTTATAACCCCATATGAGAGATAAAGAAAACATTTATAGTCCCTTCCGCCATTTTATAGACATCTGAACGTGTTAAAAAAAAAAAAAAAAAAATATATATATATATATATATATATATATATATATATATATATATATATATATATACACGGATGTTTTGACTTTCGTCAGTCGTTAAGATCATTTTGAATTCATAACTCAGGGGCACATCGTACCGCCATAATATATATATATATATATTTATTCCTTTCCACAGATTGATCCACGGGGAAGGAGAGGAGGGATTTTCGGAGTGAACATCTCTCCCCCTTTCCTCCCTCCAATAAATGGTAAAATATAACCATATCTTATGAAAAAAAAATTTAATATTACCTTTAAAATTGTTATTGTTCGTGTATTTACATTCAATAGTACTTAAACTCTATTTCATATAGGTAGTTAGTTTCGTAATTATCGTAGTTCGAAGTAATTATCGTTATATATATATATATATATTTTTGATTTATTATTTTCAATAATCAACCATTGTGATCGACCGATAAATTCAAAAACTTAACAGACTCTCAAAATTTGAGATTTCGCGTTTCAGGATGCGTAGAATTCGAAAAACGAATAAAAAATTTTTTATCCTTCCGCCGTCCGCGCATTTTCTCCGGAACTACTGGACCGATTTTTTTTCAAATTTGGATATAAAATCAGAGGTCACCTGAGGATGATCCTCCTACATCGACATTATTATCCGCCTTTTACTTTCAAAATGGCGGCCGAAAAACCTGCGTTGCTATAGACTGTAGCGCCTAAACGAATGTAGCGATTTCAATGAAACTTCACTAAAGTCATTTTCTCTACGCCCTTTAAATTTATCTATATAACATACTTTAACGAAAAAAAGCTGGAAAAAAAGTTACGAGGGATGGTAAAATTTAATTCCGAATAACTCAAAAAGCATACACTTTTTTGGGGATGTTGTATTATGTTTTTTTAAAAGTTTACGAAATTTCTTTCTTAAAAACCAAAAAAAAAAAATCGTTAAAATTGAACAATTAGGAACAAAGATATGGTCTCCGTTTTTTTTTTATTATGTTCTACTCCAAATGTTATATCCTTTGTTTGGTTTTTAAATTTTGAATGTGTTACTGAAGTAATGCTATTTTTTTTAGCATATTACTAATGATTAAAAAAAAAAAAAGTTTAGTCCAATAATTGGAATCACATTTTATTTATTTTTCTTTGTAACTAGAAGGTAATGTTACTTTAGATGTATAATTGTTTGGAAATAATAAACCATTGTGGAATAATTTGCAGCGTTTTTTTTTTATTATAGAAATTTACAACTGTATTAAATGACAAACACAACAAGCAAATATGAACAAGCAACATGACATGTACAACATGAAGAGAAACTACCCATTGGTAGCACTCCAGTAAATATTTGTTTAAAAATCTTTCGGGCTGAAGCCTTCCCACAAAAGTAAATCTTGGATCCGCCAGTGTTCCTTTCAATCTGGATTGTCCAGATGATACGCCTTCCATTGGTAATCCAGTAGCGCATCTTCGGAGACGCCCCAAGCGGAAACAGACCAGTGACCATTTGTCTAATGGTACTTCAACCGCACAGCCACTGCCGTTTAGATTAATGCGCACTTTCTGATGCGACTTTCCTTTCCACTTTCTTCCTGCCACTGGACTAGGATAGCAACAGGAATAGAAGAGTGTGAAAGAGTCTTATATGTTCCGGTAGGGTAAACAACCCAATGCAGGATATGTCTTCCTGGTAAAACTAGGAGGCACCTTTTAATCAGCATTCAGAAAATCGTTCATTTTAAATTTAGCTGTTATTTATGTATTTAGTTATTTATTTATTATGTTGTTATTTATTTCACGGTGACCCACAAAATCAACCTCCATCCTTCTCACTGTGTCCAGAGTATGTTGGTTCCTTACAATGTAACACGCATTTCCTGTACTCGTTCAAGTACTTACAAGCATTATCTTATTATGGTATTAAACCAAACATTAAAAAAATAAAGCCGAATTGGTTGCTCATATCGAATCCCTCAAAACCTTAGTTGCCATTATACATGCAGGTGATTACTTAGTTATCTTGTCTGATAAAGAAGTCTAATTACACGAAAGTTTTGTTTATATTTGTTTCTGATCTTATCCACGACGTAATATCCCAGTAAGGATCTTATCAACTTAGATATCATAAACAATATTTCACTTTAACTGTCTGTTTTATTTCCTTTATTAATTTTATATGTCCAAATCACTTTGTAAAGAATACAGAACCGTGCAAATAAATGCTGATGAAGTTTGGATCTTTGGCAACAACCTCACCCTGACAAAAATGGCAAACTCAATTAATTTTTTTTTTCTTTAATACAATTACGTTAGGTATGGGAGGTGCTAAGCTTTGGTATCGAACAAAATACAGGACATGTTTGAAGATTGTTAAAATTACCAAAGCTGACTGTTATCCTATCGCTGCAGTCATAAACAAAACTTCAATCAGTTCTTGACTTCCTATGATAGCTTACTATGTGGGTCAACAAACGTTAGAAGACGTGAAGGTCAAGTGTGTTCAGGCGTCACCTTAGCTACGGAGTCGGAAGCTGCACGGATTCGAATTCGGTCTGGGCAGGTTGGAATCTATTTCTTGTCAAACTCATGGAATGAATCTTTATCTTCCCACTCTGGCTGGAATAGGTTAGTAAGCTGTAGGATAACGCTTCCTTGCTGCCTTAGTTGGGATAAACAAGTAGGTTAAACGTATCTCCCTCCCCCTCCCTCTCCCAAAAATATAATTCGTAATTTAACTCTCAATTGAAACACGAAGATGTTTGAATATAATCTCCGTGTCAGTACATTGTTAAATTATTAATAAATGTAATACATTTCATTTCCTTATTCTTTTTAGCAGTCTCTTTGCCATTTTAAACTAAGATTAGATCGATTTTACATTTTGAAATAAGATAATTCTAATCTATATTCTCAAGTAATAACAATACTTTTATTTTTACTAGATTAAAATATTTATTTTAATATGTTATTCTTCCTTTTTTTCAGGTTTTACCAACAACATGGAGTATTCACCAATGTTGGTTGTGATGCTATGGGCCCTGACTCCTAGTGATGCTTCATCTGTAGCTGCAAAAGTCCAGGAAATGCCTCCCCCTGGGATGACAGTGCATCAAGAATCGTACTTCACTTTCAACCATGGAAAACCATTCCTTGCTGAACAAGACCCACTGACAGGAGCAATCCTCAATCTCAAGACTACTCCCGTCATTCAGGATGATTATGTGTATGAAGAAGAAGAAGATACAGATGGCATAGATAGGAAGGATGGCCCAAAAATATTCACGAGAAATGATATAGCCCAGCCTTCCAAAGATGCGGATCTACATAAATTTCTAAATCTTCCAGTTCATTACAGTTCTAGTGGGAAGTTCCCACTCATTTCTAGTTCATATGCTAACACAAAAGTCCAAGGCCATGGAGCCAGTGCCTATAGTAACCATAGATTAAATCCAACAACTTCTACTTCAACTGTTTCTCCTTCTTATTATTCATTAAAGACATCAACCAGTGCTAGGAGCACTGAAGGTACAACTTCAACTACCACCACAACTACTACTACCACCACGACAACCACCTCTCCAACTACTACCACAACAACAACCACCACTTCAAAGCCACCCACAATCAGAACAACTACCAAACCACCATCATCATACGAATATGAATATGAATATGATTATGACAATGATCACGAAAGAGAACCTACTGAGAATAAGACTTCAAATCACAATATCTTAGATTTCTTTGATAAAGATTACGAATTATTAGGTGCATCTGAAGAAGATAAAAATGCGTCTAAAGTTAGTAATACCCAACCCACAGGAAAACCAAACAATGATGTGGTTATGGTAGCTCCTAACACTAATATTTTTATCCCAGCAGATTACTTGAAACCTAATTTAGAAGAAAAACGCAACCAAACTGAATATCAGCAAACTACAACAATTAAACCTACTTCCTCATCCACTACACCATCCACCACTTTACCAACTGTAAAATCCACTACTTTACCACCTGTGAAATCTACTACTTTTTCAACTGTTAAATTCCCTACCGAATCATTTACTGTCAGTTCATCAACACAAAAAAACAAAGTATTATACAGTTATACTGAAAGACCAAAACCATCTACTAATGATATAGAAAAGTTTGTTCCTACAACCGAAAGTTCAGAAGTTAATGATAAAGTTGATCATAGTATATTTGGTATGAAAATAACTAACAAAGATAAACAAGAAGTAACCACCAAAAACGAAGATGATAGTCCTACCATACAACCTATAGACAAAAGACCAACAATCTTTTTACCAACCAGACTGCCAGAAGAAAATAACAAGAATGAAACAAAACTTATTACAGCAGGTGAAGAAGATATGCCCATTCGAAAAAGACCAAACCCTCAACAGCCTGATGAATCGAAACCTTCTGAAGTTATTGTTCCTCCTACTAGGCCTTCAGATTTTCACTACACTTTTGTAAAACCAGGCACTCGGCCAGTTAACATTAATCCTCAACAAAATGGGCACTTTAATCCATATCAACGACCATACACTCCTCCAACAATGGTTCCAACAGAAATATTGCCTCCTCAAAGACCTTTGGAACACTATCACAGACCTCAAGAAAGGCCTTACCCTGAAATTGTGCAATATCGACCATTAGACCAAAACCGACCACAAAGCAATAAGCCAATAGTCAATGTAGGAAACAGAACACCTATTTATAGTATACCAGAAAACGAACCAGTATTTGAACAAACCAATAAGAGACCACCACAGCCCTTCCTTCCAACACCAATGCGGCCATTGGAACCAAAGCCACATGACAACTTTCCTCAGAAATTGGAACCTAAACCATTTGCAACAATGGCGCCTACCGCATCATCTCGACCAGGAGAACCTTCCTCAATAAATAGACCCCATGTTCCCCCACAGAGACAAGAATTTCAAACAAGGCCAGTTGATAGTGCTATAAAAAATAGAAACCCTGAAAATGAGCAAAAACCAAGCAAGGTACCAAATCAACCTTCAGATATTATGTATCCTCCTTATTCACAGCTACGACCTCAGGAACCTGAACAAAAACCATATGTTCCTGAATATAGACCACAAAATCCAAGACCAGAACAAACACGGCCTCCCATAGTAATTCCAGATCTAGTACACAGTCTAGAAACCCAAAATAGTGGAGAAAATCAAAATCAACCCACTATTTCATTCAGCAATAATAAACCATTTCCATCTCAATTTAATCAACCATCCAAAGTAGAAAGTCATTTCATTAAAGTCTCTCCAGGTCAAGAAAATCCCAGTTATTCTCTACAAACATCATTTTCGATTGGTGTTCCACCAGCTGAAGAGCCACAGCCAGGAATATCAAATAACAACCCCACTAAGGTCGCAGTTGCACCAAGCAGCCAGGGTGTTGGACAAGTTCTTTTCCCAGATGAGGAAGAAAAACGACCATGGACCTTCCAAGAGGACAAAAGGCCCGCTTTGTACAGCCCAGAAGGTGAAAAGTATCCAAGACCATCATGGGAATCACATCTAAAACCACCACTTGCCTTCAATCATTTGAGAAAAGAGCCTTTCCTACACAAAAGACCCAAACCAAGACCTGACTTACCCAATATTCTCCCTCAATTCAGACCAAATGCAAAAGTTGGGCATGCTGAACCACATATATATTTCAAGACTCCTCTAGATACCCTACAACCTCCACCATTGCCAAGACCGCAGTTCTTGAGGGCTGAATCAGAAGAAGAAAAACAACAAGTTCACAGGAGAAACGGGCAGTCGTCTAGAGTAGTACCTGCACCTGTACCTGTACCAGTGCCTGTACCAGTTTCAGTACCAGCAGCCCATGTCCCAAAAAGAGGTGCTTTGAGGGCTGAAGATGAAAAAACTGACCCAGTGTTTGTAGTATATCCTAGTAACAATGCTCAAGATGGTGTTGTCATTGGAACAAGAGGTCCACAGCGTCCTCTACCACCAGATAATTTAGAATTAGAAGATTCTTTTCCTCTTGATACAAATAAAAATTTTCAAGCAAGGGTTGATACACCCATTTTAAAAGGAAAAGTAACATCAAAACCGATCGTAAAGAATGATTTTCCATATCCATTAGTCAAACCGACAGAGTTAGAAGAAAAAGTAATTACAACAGTGACTAAAGAGTATACTGCTTTTAGTCCAACAGTGTCACCAACTGAAAAAGAACATGATACAGAAATAAATGTCATTCCATATTTGCAAGACTATCAACCATTCGCAACAAAAAAACCATCACAAGAACCACCAACATGGAACACTGGAAATGATACAAAACCAATTTCAGTAACACTCAAAACTCAGAAAACTGAAGTAACAACCTCAAAAATAGATAATCACAAAACAAATGATTCCCCAACTCCACAAGATTTCCAGGCACCATTCTATGCAAGCTTATCTGCACCAAACCAAGGTTGGAGTGTTTTAAGACCAAGGCCAAATCCAGAAAAAGAAGAAGAAGAAACGACAACTGCCAAAATATTTGAGGAGCAGGAGAGCAAATTTGATATACAGAACTTTAAACCACAACTCTTTGGAGGATTCAAGCCTATCATTCCACCAAACATGGAACCTAAAGAAACTATTCAAGAAGAAAAAGAAAATTTATAGAAAGAAAATTATGGTATGATCCTTTATTAAGAGAAAAAAATATTGGTACATCACTGACTTGTCAATGAACAAAGTGTTTGACTACAAATATTTTTTTCAATGCAATAACTTGCTGCATATAAAGAGTCAACGATATGCACAGTTATTGCTCCATTTCTTCTAGACTGCTTCTCACTTTAAATGGAGTCAATTAATTTATGAAGGTGTTTGTTAATTTAAAATATAAATTAACAATGACACTTAGTTAATATTTGTATTTATCAACTAATAATAAAATGTATATATTTTTGTATAAATATTGTAGCAAAAAAAAATGACAATAATGTTATTATGTTATTAGGGAACAGTATCAGATGAAAAATATTTATGCTAATTTAAAGTCATTTGAAAGAAATGTAAGAGAAAGTCTGAAAATCAAAACAGTTATAATTGGTAGAACTTTAATCGGAAAGCATCTGGTCAAGAAAAACACCAGATTTCGGCAGGGTGATGATTCTGTGAACTATAGCTCGCCTAACAATGTCTCTTTTTAACCTAATTTTACCTATATTAGTTAATGATAATAATGTTAATTGAGTCTTAATGATAAAATATGACAATTTTTATCATTAATAAACATGTATCAGTAGTACATCATCCAATAAACACTAACCTACTGCATTAGTTGTACCTAACTGGATTAGTTTTTCATGCTAGATCGAATGGTGACTGGTGGCGTATGCCAAATATATGTTTGCAAGATGTTTTGAGGTTGGAATTAAACTATAAATTATAAGGAGAGGGTCATGGGCAATGAAATTAGTCAGTTTTTTTTTAATTTTGAATGAAGTTGTTAAATGAGAACTGTGTTAGGTAATGTTATGATTTATATGGCCTACTAAAAAATTAATATGATTCTAATTATAAATTAATTAAAATTTTTGATTATTTAAAGTTTCCTTAAGTTAGATCAGCTTAGTAAACCATTTAATCATCATCCTAATGTACTCATATTATCAGTGTAAAATTAATGTCTCATGTCTCTCATTTTTTTATTTTATTTTAAAAGATTCAAATTAAACTTTGTTAACTGACAAATAATTGATAAAGCAAAAACCTGATGGTGGAGGGTAACATTTATAAGTGGGGTATAAAATACGACATTTATCTGTATCGTGCAAATGTTGTATTTTATACATTAAAATAATTTGTGGTCACATAAATAAACAGTGATGATAATTGTATAAATTGATGTCAAAGTAGACCTGTTTAGTTATTATTATGCTCGTAATGGATAAGTTGAATATTTTAAAGCCATTTGCTACAAACTATTTAGTTAATATTGGTGTATGCATAATTGAATATTCAAATGAAATACAATTTAAGGTTCATTGCCTTATTATGTAGCAAATAGGTTAAACGTTATGCCATTAGATAATTATCGAAAAAAAAAATTGTAATTACTTTAATAATAACATAATTTAGTTATAAGTTGTACTTATTTCTTCTTTTATAAATCTAAAGTGTATATAGCTAGTCACAATTTTAATTTTTATATATATATATAAAATATTGGGAAAAAAAGACAATATATTTAAGCTTGTACAAAAATAAATGCACAATTTTTAGTGCACAATCGACACAGCTACAAAAACTGCCTTTCTATTTTTAAATTATTTATTTATTTATAATGTAATTTATTTATATAGATTTATATTTAAATTTTAAAGAAAATTTCTATTTATTTTGCACATTTATATAAGAAATAAATTTTATGAAAAATTTATTATTTAATTTTTTGAAATCCTTACTATTTATTGATGAAATAAACCTGAATGAATATTTTCCTCAAATAATTTAAAATAAGGCTTTTCAATTATTAAAACATTAATTTAATTTAAATCTAACTGGCCTAGAAGCACCAAACATAAAAACATATGTATTCTGCTTGAAACTTATTAATTGGGTTGGATCATATAAAATGTCACATTATGTAGGTTATAATAAGAATAAAATAAACTATAACAATGTTTTTTTTTTAATGTTAGCTCAACTCCTGTTAGCTTCAATTTTCTCTTTATCTTATCTGAAGCAGCTTTTTGGCCTTTGATCAATAAACTCAAGAAATAAAAATTCTATTGAAACTGGCTTTATTACTAATAAGGAACAATTCATCTACAATAAAGAAATGCTTATGGAAATTGGTCAATCAATGTCCCATGATATGAAGGCACGGAGATTAAGATGGGTAGGGCATAATGCTCATAGCAATCCATCTGGAAGCTTTTACGTAATAATGAATGCCTCAATAGAAAAATACCACGTGGAAGACCAAAAAGCAGATGGATAGATAGAATCAACAAAAATGCAACAGAGCTGCATGCAGATAAATGGAAAGAAATAGCCCAAGAGAAGCAGAGATGGAGCAGGCTTAAGCGGCAAAAGATCTACATGGTCTGTAATGCCAACAGAAAAAAATAAAATAAATTGAGGTTATAAAGAGAGTAGTATTGAAGCCGATTTTTTTTTTTTTTTGTAATATTTAAAATTAAAAAATAATACATATGATCTAATATTTATTATTTGAAATTATCCAAAAATAAATTAATAGCATGGAATAAGAAGAATATCTATAAAATGGTTGATAATGGTGTGAAGTCGTCAATGCTAAACATATTTAAAAAGATGTACATCAATTAAAATAGTCACTTCACCCGACACAACTTTTTGTAGTTTGAGCACCTTTGTAATGTGACGATTGCCTTTACTTTTAATTTCATTAAGAACATCCGAAATAAAAAGTTCTGCATAGCCAAGAAACCCTAAAACATGGGAAAATATTATAAACACAAATAGTTGTACAATGAAGGGTAATCGCAAATAATGATCAATTTCAAAATTTTTGTTAATCCTTTTAAATCTTACGAAAATTACATTTTAGCAAGAATTTGAAAAGTAAATAGTGCATTGTGACAATAAACCAAATACATTTGAGTCATGAAAAAATAAAGTTAAATTATATCAGAAAAAAAAAGGTGAAAAAGTTTAGTTGCTATTGATCTTTTTTTCCATAGACCTTCAAATAATTGTAATAAAATTTATGCTTTAATGTTTATATTTTTATATAAGAAAATCAGTTTTATCACACCAATCAATATAAGGTTAATATTATGAATAATAAAATAAATCCTTACTATCAGGTGAGTAGAATGCCTTACTCTTTACAGTTAAACGAATAACATCGCCACATAGATCTTTAATCAAAAACTTCATAGGTGACTGCCAAATAGGATTCGGTCCATTAGGTATCGATACAGGAGCAGTTTCGCATGCTTTGCTTCCAACTGTCACTTCGCAAAACACTTCATTAACAATAACTGAAAATAAAATCAGTTTAAGAATTTTTGTAACTAGAAGGGTACCCTCCCTTTCCATCTAACAGCGAACCCACCCCCATTACACAGATTATACAACTGTTCATTTAATTGTGCTACTTGTTGCTCAAATTGTATAACTGTAATTTACATGTATTCTGTAGTTCAGATTGCATTATTTTTTATCAACATAAAATAAACGGAACAAAAGCACAGTTCAGACAAATTTAAATTTTTTTTTAAATCCATATTATATATTGCACCTTATTGCCAATTTATATAATTATAATTATTCTTATTGCCAATTCTAAACCATTATAAGGAAAAAATAATTCTGGAAATAAGAAGTGTGGTGTCTTCATTCTGGCCCTTCCCTTTGTATATGTAAAATAAAATATGACAGTCACTAAAAACTTTTTTATATAATAGTGAGATAATGAAATATGATGATAAAATCGATTTTAAGAAAAATATATTACATTAAAACATAAAATTTTAAAATATATTTTTCATCAACTAAATGGGAATGTAATTTGGAACATGGGTGCAAGACCATATCTTTAATGACCATGTTACAGAATAATTGAAATGGAAAATATTACATTGCCTAATTTAAGTTAAGCAGTTTAAGAGCATAATTTTAAAAACTGATTGAACATAAAATATATCATTTTTAGGATCTGTAAAATAATTTTATTATAGATCTATGAATCTCTTTTATTTCCTAACATTTCTTTCTAGCTGACCTGTTTGGTTTGGTTGGTTGGTTAAGATTGTAAGTGTAAATATGACTCCTCAGAGACAATATTAAATGTAACTATATTCAATGTATGCACAATCACAGCAATTATTACCATTTAAGGATCGAACTGCAATATTTCTGCCATAAATGATGATTAATTTTAGCATACCTTTTGGACGTCTCTCTGAAACACAACGAAAAACTTGATATCGTTAAAACTCTCAAAGTAACTAAATATTATAACTTAAAAAAAACAGAAATAATAATTATATTATTTATTATAAGAGACGGTGTTTGAGATTCAGTAAAAAATATAACTTACAGACAATCAATTTTTAAGTTTTATGTTTTTATTCTAACATTAAAGAAATTATTAATAGTACATTTTATTTCTGACACACACACCAACCATCATCACATAGAAAATCATAATTGTAACAGTTTATATTTATGTTAAATAATATATATACTCGCACAAGTAGCAGTGAGCAAAACCAACAAGTGGGCCTACCTAAACATCAGTATGGATCTTGACTATTTACAATAAGCAAAATAAATGTTCTAGAATTTTTATAGAGATAAACCAATCAAAAAATGTATTGATAAAGGATATAATCAAATGATATTTAAGGATATAATCGAACAAACAGTCTTTATCCTGTTAAATAGCTGTAAGCAGCTATTGGCAACATTTTGCTATTACAGGAATCATCAGGCAAAAAACTAAACCAAATATAGGACATATCCCATAAAAAATCCAAATGGATGCATTAACTAGAGGGGTAGAAATTATGAAGCAAAAAGGAACCTTTTTATGCCATTTGCAAACCTATTCCAATGTGCAACCTATCCCACTAACAACCATAAAGTTTTGAGATAAATAAAAATTTAATCATTGCACAACTATTTCTTAAATGTCCAACAATTATGAAACTAGAAAATAACCAAATTAAAACAAGACATGTTTTAATATCTAGAAAAAAATAAACTTTACAAGAAACAAGTTATATCTTTACAGGTAGCAAAATTCTTACTGAGATTATATTGAAATCGTATTACTGAAATGTGAGGGTTACCTTCAATATATCACCTTTAATGATGTCATTTTAATAATAATGATGGCTTAAAGGCTCCTTTATAGAGAAAATTTGTGTTGGAAATTTTATATTTTACCGATTAGTTTTGGCCCTGTTTTGAGTTTTATCTCTGCAATATTAATAAGTTGATAAAGTTGAACCAGTAAAATTGATATGCATACTTTATAATTAAAATACTTTATAAGAAGGTATTGTTTCTGGGCTAAAGATAACACCACATCACATTATAGAAGTCAAATGTTCCCCAAAAGCTCTTCTGGTCACAGAATTGATTCAAAGATTGATATAAATGCAACTTACTAGACCTCTGTCTTGTCAGATGGAGTCTTTCTTGCTCTGTCACTTCACTCTTGGCTTTCAAAAGCATTTTCAACCAAAGATTTTTTTCGTTTTCATTTGGAGCACTCATTTGGAATATATATTTGTTGTACTCGAGAAGAAACTCATTGCCATCAGTGTCTTCAGTATCTCCAGTAATAATTAAATCATTCAAAAGCAGTGGCTAATAAAGTAAAACAGAATTTTAAAAATAACAGAACTTCAATAAAAAGTTTTTCTAATAAAAACTTCAATAAAAAGTTTTTCTAATAAAAACTTCAATAAAAAGTTGTTCTAATAAAAACTTCAATAAAACGTTTTTCTAATAAAAACTTCAATAAAAAGTTTTTCTAATAAAAACTTCAATAAAAAGTTTTTCAAATAAAAACTCCTCATTTTAAAACAACATTACATATAAATATCAGATATATAATTTAGCACAAGTAAACAATATAATTTTATTTAACTAGTTTTCGCCCTGTGGTCAAAATTCAACCATAACCATTATAAATTTGAGGGAAAAATAATTAAATAAAAAATAAAGAGTAAATCGTGATTTAAAAATCCTCATTTATTAATAAAAACAAAATTTCAATTTCAATTAAAAATCGAGTTTAAACTACTTAAAATTATTTATAAGTAATACATAATAGACTCATTCAAAAATTTTTAATTTATGTGTGTTATTATCACAATAAATTAATGTTATGATTAAGCAAGTAAAAAAAAAAATTAAATTAGCAATTTGAATTCAGTTTAAATCAATTTTTATGTAGAACTATGTAAACAATGTTCTTTTTGAATATTCCGTTATTGTTTAGTACATAGCCTTGCCAATTGCCATTGAAAATATAAATTTCAAAATTTTAAACGAACGTGCTATACTTGCTACTAAATATAATTGTCCATTCGAAATTACTGGACGTTGCAATAATACCCAAATTTTTCCAAAACTTTGACCCTGTGATTTGATTATGGTCATAGCAAATGCAGCTATTAATAAGAACATTGTTCTTTGAAATTCGAATGAAAGTATTGTCTCAGAAATTAACTAGTGCTTGTACAGTATTTAAGTTAATAATGAGTAGAGCTATAGAATTTAATTAATTTATGAGGTAATATTTCACTAACATACAATGATATCTCTTCAAATAATAGTCCCGATTACTTCAGTAAATGTAAAGTTTTTGATTTATCAAAAATTAAAATAATGGAAATCATCTTTGAAAAAGTAAAAGTACTCAATGTTTAAAATGACATATCTCTGCAATAAATAGTCCGATTTTGATGATTTTTTTTTTATTTTGTAGGGAAAAAGGGACTGAACCCTTTTGTGTTTGCCTATTTATATAATGATGTTAGTGGATGATTTAATCTGGTTACCATGGATACCAAACCACTCTCTATTAGAATCTTTTTACCTCCTTTTCACTAAAACACTCATAACTCCTCATGATTTTCTCCTAATTTAATGTTTATATGACCATTGGAAAGCTGAGCTGTTGCTCTTTAAGCCTATATAAGCAACTTTTTTATTTAATGCTCCCATAAGGAATAAAGAAAGAAAAACTCCTAACAGGTTATTATTTTTTATCTCCTAGCCCAATTTATTTACAGACCTCTGGTTTGAGCCATTTCATGTATATTACAGGACCCAAAATGCATGCCAATTTCGTGTGGACAAGTAGAACCATATCGAAGTTATGAAAACTTTTGTGATATTTAGAAAAAAATTTAAGGCAGGGGCCTTGCTAAAAATTAATTTATTTTTTGAATCAGATGAAAATTGGTATTTGAGGATTTATTGAGGTGCGAAATAGAAATCTCAACTCTGTTCCTCCTTAAAAAAATATTTGAACACTTTACTCCTGCGGCCGCTACAAATTCTTTCAATTCGAAGATAATTCATATCAATTTTGATGAAAAATTTTTTTTTATTATGTAGTGAATTCAGAAAGCTTTCAAATAAATATTGGTATTATCAATAAAAAAATGTGTAATTTTTGAGTTATTTGCAAATAAAATACTGAATTCATGATAGAAATTTATGCAGCTTGTTTTCGGGAAAGTATGTTATATACATAAATTATAAAGGTTTCAAGGGGGAAGACTTTAGCCAAGTTTCATTAAAATCGAAGCTAAAGACTAAAGCAAATCACATTTTTCAGCCACCATTTGGAAAAGAAAGGCTGGATAATAATGAAATTTATGCAAAAACATTTCTAAATCTGATTGCGACGTTGTATCAAAATTTCAAAGAAATGGGTGAAGAACTTTCGGAGATAAGCTGTTTTGAACAAACTACCATTTATATTTTTGTTTACATACTATTTAATATTTTTATTTATTGGTAACACTAAAGCTCGTCAATATCTATTAAACAAAAAAAGAAGGAAGAAAATCGGTTGAATAATAGAGGAGAAAAATGGACTGAACCGTTTTGTGTTTGCCACTCTACTTACAGAAAAAGTGATACTCAGCATGAATCTTAGTGTTACTTAAATAAAATCAAGAGGGCTTTTATCATTTATAAGACCGTTCTTTGCTTTTTTAATATTTTTTATTATTTACATATATATGTGTATTATAAATAAATAAAGTATTAATTATGAAAAACAAAATATTTAGGTTTTTTATCCTCAGCCATTTTGTTTTAAGACGGCGAATGGTAAGTTGATATATAACTAACAATCTTTTGATAGATCAATAAAACAAAAGAACACACCATATGTGCTTGTTTTAGGTGAAAATTTTCTAATATTATAAAATAAGACTGTTTATTTTTTCACTATATTTATTTTAATTTTCATAGCTACATTTCAGCCAGCAAGCCATTTTATTCAGCCATGATTTTGCATGCAGTCCAAAGTCTAGACTTTGATAGATAGAAAATGTAATTCGCTTTAGTCTTTAGCGCCGATTTTTATGAAACTTGGCTAAAGTCTTCCCCTTGAAACATTTATAATTTATGTATATAACATACTTTCCCAAAAACAAGCTGCATAAATTTCTATGATGAATTCAGTATTTTATTTACGAATAACTCAAAAAAATTTTATTGATAGTACCTATATTTATTTGGAAGTTTTCTGAATTCACTACATAATAAAAAGAAAACAGTTTCATACAAATCAATTCAAACGCTTTTTCATGTTGTTGAGACAAAGAAATCCGACCAACAAATAGCATTTCCATGATTTATTTTATTAACAAGATTATATAGTTAAATTTAATTAACTTAATAATCAGGACTGTCTTTAAATTAGAGTAAACGAATTAAAATTTCCAGATTTGAGAAGAACATTGATCGATCGTATTTTACACTCTTAATTGATTTTGTTCCCATTCAATTGATAGGGAAAAAAACAATACAAAACTGACATATAATTATGGTTATATATTTTAAAAGAAAATTAAATTATTCAATTTCGAATTAAAGAAGCTGACCAGCTTTATTTGATTTCTTAAACAAAACTTTTTGTTTATCTATCTGAAATTTCATAGTCAACATTATTTAAAACACTTCCAAATTAATCAAATTCGCACCCTACCATTCAACCATTTATTCCTAAAAGTAATTAAAAAAAATGTTGAGTTAATATATACAAATGTAGGGAAGTATTTTCAGAAGTCAGTATTAGCCAATAATTCAAATCAGAATTTCTATTAGTTACAAATATAGATTTATTAAGTAAAACTCACATGCTTATATATTCTGAAAGAGATGTAGTGGTGCTTTTCAAAGCTGAATGAACCACCTAGCGGTCTTGTTGGTTGAACAAGCAAAAGTAAATCATTCATCAAGAAACCCATAAGTTCTTTACCACTTTTCTTCTGGAACAAAATATTAAATATTACATGACTTTGGCACCAAATTAGTGATAACATTCAATAAAATTGCAACATACCCTCATCAAAGAACCAAAATGTAACAATTTTCTCGGGCCGAGATCATGTGTTAAAGAATTAAAATTCAATGGTTCTGAAAGTTCATCAGACAGAACATGATTTTGCAGCCAGTCTAGTTGCTCAGCATTTTCTTTTTCACGAACAAGTTCATTTATCTGATTGGCAATAAAGTATATGATCAATACAAATTTACAGTGTAAAACAATTATTATGTTAATTGTTATTACACAATGACCAAAATCTCAGCAAAGATATGCACATAAGGATAATAAAGATAAAATTGATATAACTTATTGACATTAATTATGGAATTGGGCTTTTCTCATTGACTAAAATTAAATTATTATATTTTTACTTAAAATATATTTGAACATAAATGTAATAGAATAGAAAATAATTTTATTCTGGGACGAAGTCCCTTCAGTATAACAAAAAAGTGCAGAAATTAAAATTTCTGGTCAGATAAAAACAAACATAAAAAGTAAAGATAGTAAAACACATTATATAATGAAAATCACTAGCGGATCCAGGATTTATTTTTGGGGGGCTTCAGCCCGGAAGTTTTTTTTTCATATATATAACACTAATGACTTTGAAAAAACAGAAAGATACCTACTATCTATATGAAATGGTGTTTAAGTGATTCTTGAAGTCCTATTATATGTAATTAAACGAGCAATAATAATTTAAGACATAATATTTTAATATTTTTTACCGTAAAACATAGTTACATTTTACCATTTTGGGGGGAAGGGGGGTTTCAGCCCGAAAGTCCCTCCCTCCCCCCCCCCGTAAATCCGCTTGTGATGAAAATTTATTATTTTTGATGGCTGCTTAAAATTACTTTTAGCCTAACTCACATTATTATGGTCTAGAAGATTGAAGAGAGCAGACAAGGATTTGGGAAGCTTAGAAAGAAAATAGGAAGAAATTCAAGGAGATAGAGTTGAGAAGGGTGATAAAACAATTTTAGAATGAAACAAATAGGTATTTGAGAAAAGCATCCCTTGAATCATGCTATTATGAGTTTATTAGTTTGATTAGGATCTATTTATTTTTCAATCTCTGTTTTTAGATGTTTGAACCCAGACAATTAATTCATTTATTCTATTCCATACTATTATTCTTATGAAAGAATCGTCCCAAAATAAGTTTGTGTTCATTTACTAAAACAGAAATCCATATAAACAGCAATATTTAATTTTCTAAAAAGGTCAGGTGCAACCAAAATCTACTAATTTACTGTTTGCAATAAACCAATATGTCAATCAAATTATTATTGTCTTAATACTCACTTGTTTACACAAATCTTCAGCTTTTTTAAGAGATTCTTCTAAGGGAAGCTTGTCAGGATGTTCCTTAGAGGTGTATTCCAAAATCTAGTAAAAATATAACAATACATAAACATTTCTCCAAAATGAATATTTGTCCCTTTAAATGTAATGAAAATGTAAATGTTTTTATGTGGCTACAGACAGATAGTTTTAAACAAATATTAGTTAAGACCCCATTATTTAAATGGTAAAATTTTCACAACACATGTATACCAAAGAGGAAAAAATAATAATAGAAAGATGCAGAGAAATATAACTATATATTTATAAATTGTTGTTAATATTACAAATATTAATAAAAAAACTGCTCAAGTGATAAAGAGCAACTAGATTATGATGATGATTTATAAGTTTTTGAGAGTTTTGATAAAGTGTAATATCCTTAACAATAATTCAGATCCAGCAAATGGAAATTATTATTGCACTATCAAAGTTCTTATTTTGTATTAATCTTTGAAATTAAATATTTATAGGTATATGGAACTTTTATAAATAAAATCTAGTATTAATATTAGATTTAGGTTTTGTGATAAGGTGTTTTTTGGTTGGATTAAATTATTAGCCTACACCTATTAGATTGTGTTGGACCAGATCTACACAGGCGAGCCAGGAAAATTAAAAACAAAATTTTCTACCTATGCTGGTAAGTATAACTGTGGAGTCTGGAGGACACACATGATAGCTGCACAAGTTTCAGCTCAGCTGAAGTTGGACTAGAGCAGAAAGGTCTTGAGTTCAATTCTTTTGATTTTTATAAAACCATTAATTTTTTCCTGGATTTGTTATTTATTATTTGAAACCGGTCAAATTTTTTGGCTTTTGATAGAATAATATAAAAATGAACCAATGACAATGCCAATGAAATCAATTTTCAGTACACAGTTTCAACCATCCTCAAGTAATTGCAGTAGTCTGCTTCTTCTCCAATCAATTCTTGAAATAAATTGATGTGAGACTATTTAAGAATCATTATTTACAATATGACATAGGATTTTTTTTTAATTAGTTGATAACAAGAACAAGCAACTATGATTGCCTCATCTCTCTTAGTTGAGACCATGAGCTCAATTGACAATTAAACAGTAATATCATACATTATATATGATACTTGTTGCCTACACTTATACATGCAACATTTGGCCCTAGACTTATAATCAATTGATTAATTCATAGGTTTAATGTTAAATTTATTAACCTTCATCTAATTATAATATAAAAATTCATATAGTTAAAAAAATTATATAATTATAATATAATATGTTATATTATAATTAAGTTATCAATTAATTGATTTATTTATATAGACCAAGACTCGCATCCACTTACTTTGGAATCAACATTTTGATAACTGATTTATCTTGTATATCATGTAAATACTTCATAAATAAATATTTACTAAAATTAAAAGTACTTTTAATATAAAAGCTGGTCAAATTCAGCAGAAAACACACAACCTTAGATATGAGAAGAGGGTATTTAGTTATCCTCTGCATCGGTTTGATTAAAAAAGAGCTGAGAGGAAGCCCTTTGGTTCTCGGATCTGACTGGCACTTATCCAGAAGTGCTCTGAAGTGCTTGTTTGCTTCACCAAGTGTATGCAACAGTGCAACAGCACGTCGTTGATGAGCACAAAACTCCACATAAATCTGCATTTGAGGCAACTAGAAAGAAAAAAAATTAAAGAAGTCTCTAACATAGAATACTGAAATGATCTTTTTTTATTCCTCCCTCCCTTCCTCAATTTTTAGGATAAATGGAGTTTTTACGGACCAGGGAGAGGGTGGAGGATTAATGCCAGAATTAAAATTTCCTGGAATTAAAAATCCTGCACTGAGATTTGAACTCATAATATTTGGTTTATCAAATTGCCAAGCAAAGAATGTTTTACACACTCAGAAAATAATTTCCATCAGTTTGGAGACGGAGAAGCTAATTTAATAAAAAAGAAGTGATCCCATTAAAAAAACTTATATAAAAGTATTTCAATTCCACTTTTCATGTAGTATTTCATTCCATTCACTTTTTTTTTTTGTTTTATTTTTTTACAGTTATACTATATAGTTCTGTTGGAGCTAAAAGTGATCAACTGAAATTGTTATGAAAGTTACATTTGTTGCTACCCTATTCCTGGATCAAATCTATAAACTTCAGCAATGTATTTTTAATTTATAAGCAATGTATTTTTCAGCAATTTATAATTTAAATTATAAAAATATCAATAAAATAAAAAATAAAATTCTAAGTGGCTATTATACAGTTTTGTGTTACTAATTCACATAGCATACTGATCATGGACAATAGATAATATTAAAAATAATAGTTAATTATTGATAATTAATTAATTTTCTCAATACTAACAAGGAGAGGATACAGTCTGTGGGTCACTGATTTCAACCAATTTTTTTTGGTGATACTGCATTAAAAAATATAAGACATAAGTCCCAGTGTTCTTTCCAATAGGCCGTAGGAACCGAGATAAATAAAATTTTCTATAATTTAAAAAAAAATGTATATTATTTATTTTTGCCTTTGCTTTGTCTAGATTTTTAGGTTAGTATATATCAATGTTTTTTGTTGTTGTTTTTTTGTGTAAAATGAAAAAAAAAATATTAACTAGTGTACTAAATGAGTTATAATGCATAATGAACTACAAAAACTTACAAAAAGGTGGTTCTAGTAAAGTAGGCCATGCAAATCTATTCCTTTTTAGGGCACTTTCAAACTCTTAAATACTAATTGTTATATAAATAAAAAATACAATCTTTAGTACTTGATTTTCATGGATGAGTTTTTTTCTGGCCGTCAACTAAAGCATTCATAATTCCTCAGGATTTTTTTCAAATTCAACTTTATTATAACCATTAGAAAGCTGAATTACTCCTATTCCAACTGACATTAAAAACTTTTGGATTTCATTTTTCTTTTATTAAGCTAGAAATTAAGAAAAACTTCTGATCCATTTTTATTTTATATCTTTAGTTTTAATTTGTTTACAAAATCAGGCTTATAGCATTTCATGCAGCTCACAGAGGCCTAAATCCCTATTAATTTTTGTGAGGATAAGTGAAGCCGTTCTAACATTAACACAAGTTTTGTGGTTGTTTCTAAGGATCCAGCTTAGGCAAATTTTTTTATTTTTTTATTGCACAATTTGGACCAACCAACGTAGCAATGTGTTTTTTGTAATTTATGATAGATTATAACTCATTTAATACAATAGTTAATATTTTGTTTCTTATTTTTCACACACACAAAAAAAAATGATTGATATATAAAAACCTAAAAAGGTGGGCAAAGCAAAGGAAAAATAAATTTTGTTTGAAATTATGTAATATATTTTCTTTCTCAGCTAGTATGGCCCATTGGAAAGAACGCCGGGACATGTGTCTAATATTTTTCAATGTAGTATCACCAACAAAAATTTGGTTGAGGCACTAATAGTCTAAAGTCTATTTATCTTCAATTTTTTTATGGTTACTTAGTTTTATAATATAAAAAAAAAGTATGACTTTGTAGTCAGACATGAATAACTAGTTATGCATAAAATAAATGCTGCATTCATAGAGGATGTTAGAATAATATGAAAATAATATTTATTATTTAAATTTGAACTTGAGAAATCATTTACGATCAGAAATTAAGATAAATTAAAATAATAAGAGAACTGTATTCCATGCATAAAATAAAAAAATAAAAAAATTACATTCTCACATAGAATATCTCCGATAGTAGCAACGATTCCATCTTTACTTTTTTCTCTTCTAGCATGAATGGAGCTAATAGGAAATATTAATGCTTTAATAAAAACACAATGTTGTTCAAGTTTATAATTTTCTATAATTAATTAATATTTTACATACCGCAAAAAACAGTTGTTGCATTCCAATATTTCATCCCAGTTATTAAAAATAGTCTTCAATTGATCATTAATCAATAAATTGCTATTGCCAATGGGTATTTTGAAAACCTAAAATTGAATACATATGATATAAATATGTGCTTGTAATGAAATTTTTAATTTCGGCCATTAATATGATAAACTAATAAATGAGGATTAGATGTTAGTACATAGGTATTACGCTTTACACTGGATGATTAAGTTTTGAGAAGAAATATTTTTGTGGTATTTGTTCTTAATTACAAATAAAAAATTAATAATAATTCTGAGTAATTTTCATAATTATGATTTTTTAAACTTTTATTATTCAGTTTGTTTTTGCTTATACAATTAGAAGCACTATCACATTTCTTCCATCCATTGTATTTTCTTTCTTGCTTATGAAGCGTTCTATACAACAGGCAGCAATCCTCATAGCAAGCAGGAAACGTAAACTCACTATCTATTGAATCAATAATAAGGAACAATAGTAAGTCCTGACTAAAAGTATAGTGAATACTAAGATGTGCTCGCACTTTTTGTAAATGTAACAAACAACGTATTCATTCAGCATTAAAAGTTATAATGACTGTAATCATCTCCATAGCTAACACAATATCTCTCTCTCTTGCAATAACAGAGAGAGATGCTCTGTATAATTTTCATTTAAATAGTTACAAAGTGTTCCTAACATTAAATGAGACAGGTTAAAATGAAGATTATATTGTAGAGCAATAATAAATTTCTTAAAAATACAAAATGAAGAACTTAGTTAGAATTACTTACATCGTCAACTACTCTCAGGTCATAGACATATCGTTCTTCAGTAGAAATTAATTCTTCTAAATGCTGTTGTCTTTCATTGTCTTTACTAGCTTTTGGTTCTTTCTTATAGACTGAAATACGTATTCATACAACAGATCATACACAATTTTTCAGAAATTTAATCTTAATGAACATAAAGATAAAATAAAATAATTATTAAATTTTCTATGTACGTGTCTTTCAAACAAAATATATAATTTCAGAGTACTTTTATTAATAATATAAAACATAAGCATCAATGGTTATAGGGTTTTATGCTTTAAAACCTAAATACATCAACCATATAATAATAATAATAAAATCCTCAGTGACCGCCAATACCACGAATTGACGTCAACTCGGTAATTTTAAGTAGCTATAATTTGCCTCTAACACACCCATTGATGTAGAAAGATTTTCTAATTATAAAAATATTTTAAATGGTGAAAGGGTAGGTTCCACTGAAGCAAATTTAGAAATGCATCTGGTGATTAATTTTAATTCAGAACATATCTGAAAAAATGTATTATTTAATCCACAAGTTGGTAATTATGCTGTTGTTTCAACAGACTCATCTTAGATTTTTATCCATTAACATACAAAATTTTGGTGCTTTTACATATTTATTGTTCCATGTTTGTTATATTTTATTACTATGCTCGTTTGATTATTTATTAATACAATTATTGTTTTTTTCGTTTTTATATACTTGGTATTATTTTGATATTTTATTTTTTTTAATGTGGTTGATGCAATGTTTTCTTTCTACATAGCTCTGTCTATTGATTGCCATCCGAACGCAAACTTGCTAAATTAGGCTTAACGCAATCATCCCGCATATGTTTTAATGTACCCCTCAGACATTTACCACTAGGCTCAGGTAAAATGAAATAAACATATTTTGCAGTACATCTGACTTTCATGATGATTGTATATAAATTATTTAAGACAAAAAATAAAGTTTATAACAGATATTTTCTTAATGTTTAGATAGTAATCTTTTTAATTATAAACAATTAATAAAATTAAATAATAAATATAGTAACAACTAAAAGATTTACAATAAAACAAAACATACTTTTCGATGACATCATGTTCTCCACAGCCAAAAGTTTTATTCTGATTTCTAATTGAAATTATTGAATTAATTAATTATTGCCAATAGTGAAGTTTAATCCAACTCATTTTATCACCTAAATGTTTATGAAATTGATCAATACCACATTTTTTCTTCTATAACAGTGTCAACAAATACTGTTCAAGATAAGATAGCATCATACCTTTCTCTAATGTTTATTGATCTAGTTTTCTGAAATGTAGAAAAATCACTATACAAAATTAAGATATATAAGAATGAAACTATTACAAATAATGAAATTAGGATTTAATTAATAATGCACAGCAAATTAAATATATAAAAAAAAAGAAAAGTTATTTGTTCCAAGCACATCAGAAATATAATATACATTTTTTTAAATACAAATGATTCTCTTTTAATATCCACGATATCACTTTTGGAAAGCAGAAACTCAGCAAGAACTGTTAAAAATTAGAACCACAAAATTAAGTAACCAGTGAAGTTACTTAAACAGCAATAAATAAATAGATTACATAAATCAATATTTAAAAATAAAAATTTCATTTTCTTCATAATGTCCAATCATTATATACAATTATGTTTTAAAAAATATAAACAGTAGTTTGAATTTCATCATTGGCCACAAATTTCTTCTATGGCAGTTATTCAAAAAAATTGTATTTATCATTAATACAACATAAAAACACGTTACAATTATTATAAATGTATATGTCAAACATTAAAAAAACAGATTATTATTCTTATTATTATATTTTATTAATTATAAATTGGTGATTTATATCAGTAATTTAGAATTTCTTAAATTTAATAATTAGTATTAAACCAATTAGTATTACAACTTGTATCTTTTCAGATTTTATAAGATGTTATTATATCTTATATCCATCTTCATAAGATGTTACTTTAGCATATCTTTATAAGATGCCTAAAGATTCAACATATGAAAAATCATAAAACAGTTTAATTAATCTTAAAATTTGTTTAATATGATATGAATACAATATGGACAGAGTTCATTTTTGTCAGTAATTTTTTTAAATAATAAATTTTAATCATTTTTTAAAAATTTAAATAACAAATTTGGTTAAAAATATTGAAAAATTGGTAAGTTGAAAAGCAATACGCAAATAAAGATTCAAACTTTCAATATTAATATCGACAATTACATATCAACTGGTTATGTTTCAACCAAAGAACATGTATTTAGCAGCACCAAGTAAAAATTAGGTGAAAAAATTGATGAAGATGTTATAAAATGGAAAAGAAAATAATCAGTTAATTGTGTAATAAGAGCTCATATAGAAAGAAAAAATTGCCAGTTATAAGATTTGGTCGAGAATAAAACTACACCTCTGTCAGAACCAACAAAAACCTCTGAAAATTATTGGTCAAGATATTAATGAATATTTAGGCAACCATGAGAAATACTTCTAAAATTTCTAAGTATTTTTCTAAGCTTACTAACAAGGATGGTATTAAACTGGGAATTTGAAATTGCTGCTACCAATAATTTCTTGATGCTATATGCCAACTACAAAGCAAGTGGAAATGTAAAGTGAGGAAAATTTTAAATTATATTTTCAAATGCAGCCTTTTCTTTGTGCCAAGTTATGCACTTTTACCATTTTACCCTTGGTCTTCTCTTTTTCCTTCTCCCTTCGACTTCCAGCTTCATACATATTTTTGGAAATCTTTCAGGCATCATTCTTTTCAAACGTCCAAACCAGAATAACCTTTTCTTTTCAATATTTATTAAAATGTTTTTTTCGACCTCCATCATTTCCAGAATTCTTTCATTTTTGATCCTTTCCCTTCTGGACTTTCTTGCTGTTCTTCTATAAAAGTTCATCTGTACTGCTAACAATCTGTTTCCGTGCCTTGCTTTGATGACCCAAGTCTTCGAGCATATGTCGTGATTGGCTCAAATATAGCCTCTTTTTACTGGGCTGTATATTCGAGCTCCAAAAGATACTGTTGAGTAGTGCTCTGACCTTTCTTCATTCACCAATTCTTCTGCCAATATCATTGGTGGATGTACCTTCTCTATTAAATATTGCTCCTAGGTATTTAAATTTCTCTACAGATTTTATATCTCTTTTATAAGATAATAATAGGCTTAAAAATCTGGTGTGTCCACTCACACGACTTTCCTACCTATTTCAGAAATGTTTATATACCTTTACATATATCCATCAAGAAAATGTATAGATCCGTCAAAAACCGCATATCGGAAATTTGATTCGATTGCAATATTTTCCTTATTTACCTAGTACAGGTAGGAACCACATAATTGGTAACCACACCCTAAAAGTGGTCGAAAATTTTAAATATTTGAGAGCACTAATCACAGAAAACAATGAAATGGTGGAAGAATTAAAAGCAAGGATGACTGCCGGGAATAGGTGCTGTTTTGCATTGTGAAAAATATTAAATTACAGATCTCTTTCTTACAGAATAAAGATCACGGTGTATGAGAAAGTCATCAGACCCGTCGTCACCTATGGCTCTGGGACTTGGGTCATCTCTAAAGCATCGGAAAATAGGCTATTCGCATGGGAGAGAAGGATTCTCTGCAGAATCTATTAATTCGTCAAAAACCGCATATCCGAAATTTTACCCGATTGCAATACTTTCCTTACCTAGTATATGTAGGAAATTAAAAAAAAATTTATGTATGACAATAAATTTTTGAGATAAAGACTTATGGATAATTGATTTGAAGAACCCATGTAACAAAATTTCAGATTAGCTATATATGCTTATGGAGAATTCGCACTAATAAAGAACTATATGAAATGTATGCGAGGCCGGATTTGGTCTCAATTGTGAGGGGAAACCAGATCAGATGCTTGCCCCGAGACGTGATTCCCAAACCCTTGCTAGAGGATCGGTCTGCTGGAAAACGAAGATCATGCTTCAGATGGCTGGACCAGGTAGAGGACAGCCTGAAAAGAATGGGAATTCGAAGATGCAGAATGCTCGCTAGGGATAGAGAAGAGTGGTGAATGATCATAAGAGAGACCCAGGTTTTTATAGGATCATGGCACCAAGAATAAATAAATAAAATAGGTAGGAAAGTAATAAATTAAAATATAATATATTGTATCATCGCTAATACTAGTTCGATCCTGATGATTTTTTTTTTGTTTCGTTCGTAACTTAATTACATTTCAAAAGTTTTATTATAAATTTTACCATTGAATATACACGTAGTGAGTTAGATCCCAAAACATTTTTCTTTTCTTTTTAACTTTTTTCCAGAATTTTCTTGTGAATTTAGTCCATATACAAAAATTGAAAGGAAAATTATTAGAACATTATAGGAAAGTTTCATCAAAATCGTTAGAGCCGTTTTTGCGCCCCACTCTATAGAAAAACATGTTTTTCATTTATTGCGCATGGAGCATCCAATTTGTGTCACAGGCATCAGTAGTCAAAACTCTACAAAATAAAAAAGAAGCAACAAAATCGGTTCTGTAGTTCCTGAGAAAATCTTGGTACAGACAGACAGACAAATGGCTAAAAATGTGTTTTTCGAACTCAGGAAACCCATGTAACAAAATTTCAGATTAGCTATATATGCTTAAAACTTTAAATTTGATGTGATATTAGTCTAATATTTCAATATTTCAGGAATCATTAATTTGGATATGCTTGAGGGTTTATCCCAGGGGATCAGAAAAGAAAATCATTGAAAACTAGACGAGCTGTTTGAAGATAAACCGCATCACAACAATATAAACTAAGCTGAATGACTACTGATAGCCCATGCTCTGAGATTGATGTATTATTGATAAGAATTGGATTAGATATTTCAACTATATTAAATTATTATATGACTTGGTATTATCAAGCTCTGTAATATTTTTTAGATTGATAATAATACATGCATTATGAGCAGATCTCTGATTAAATATGACATGATCTGGAGAGAACTAATTAGTATCGTTGGACTTAGGGCTGCAGGGTCATCATTTACCTGAGGATTACTAGAAATCATTTGGAAATAAGCAAATGTTTCAGTGAAATTAACATGAATGTAAAGGAAAAGGAAAAATAAATTTCAACAACTCTCAATCATGCAAATATTGTATATTATAAGTAATAAAATAATGTTTTCACATAAAGGAACAGTGGGTATAAATATATAAATAATATCAAATGTTACTTAGACCCGTTTAGATATGGTTTAGGCTTAGAATGAATTTTAGAAATAGCTTTGCATAAATATTTTTCTATCCAAACTACAACTTGATTTAATAAATTGTACGCATACATAAGTATTTACATAGAAATAATAATATTATTCTTAACAACAACAATAACAACCTTCTAAAATAATTATGCAATAGAATATATAAATAATTTTTTTATCTTAAAGCTGCTCTCTAACATCTACAAATAATATACTTAACAGTCATAATTTTCAGTTCCGCCTTAATAAAATACACATATCTATAATACTAATTTTACAACATGGCCTCTACAATAGGCTTAATACTGTTCAAATTTGTTGATTGTCTTATCATATTTCTTATTTAACTTAAGACATAGCAAACGGTAAAATTATTGGCATAAAAGGTCACACTGGAAGCATGTTTATATAAGATATGATTAAGCACTAAATTGTACTTTTTTGATTTACATAAAAATTCACTACCAACTACGTTCAACATTTAAAATTTAAAATGATACAAATGCAATAAGTATATATTTTCCTTTCATCGAAAATTGTCAATTTCCTTATAAATTAATTAACTTATATATGTACATAAAATAAAGGCGCATTAATTAACAGAATTATTTACAAGATCAGTTTTTTATAAAATATAATTTATATTAAAGCTTTTTTAATGAACAATAAATTTCTAAAGTTGAAAAACCTACAGAGAGTATTTTATTTAGAGCAAAAGGCAAAATTTTCCTGAGGAATTTTATAGGCACAGTTTTTGAGTAAATGCAATGTGTATTGTGTTCTGTTCCTCGTATCAAATTAAATAGCAACCAAGAAGATCAGTATCAAAAGAGTACTTTATAGCAAATTTTTAAAGTAAGGTTAGCAGTTTAAATTTTCTTAACACAAGTTTGTAAATAAAATTCAGTTTTTGGGATTAATCAAGGATTGTAAATGTTATTTCAAAAGCTCAAGTATCGAAGGCAAGAATGATTGATTAACGAAAATTGAGCAATTGAGGAACAAAAATTGACTGCTTCAAATAGATGTATTTTCTAACACAAATAAAACAATTTAAGCAATATTTTTTTTATTGTTTTATAATTATCTTTGAATTTTTTTTTAGTAATATATTAATTTGTTTAAATGCAGCTAGACTTGATTTTTGTATAATCAACACATATCAGAGCATCGAAACTATAGATAAGCTTTCAAACAACTGTTAGGATCTAAAATTGGTACTTGGACTGAATTTCAAGTTCTAGAATTCACAACAATATTCATTTACAAACATTTCTTATAAATGAAGTTAATTTTCAAGAGAGAATTAATTTCTAAAATGAGCAAATAAATTATATTAAAAAAACTTAAAATAGAAGAAGTTTTCATAAACCTAAAAATAATTAAATTAATTATTCACATAAAATGAAATGATTGATATTTTAAAATTAAAATTGTGGGGCACAATGGCCAAGGCCATCATAGAGGACTTTTTAAGGCCTTTGAGGCAACAATTAAATTACTTGAAATTTCACTTCAGTAACACAATTCAGAAACACATTATTCTTCAAAACAATACTAACTCATTATAAACATTGTTATAGGAATACAATCAAACAATCATAATTTCTTCAATGTTAACAATTTAATAGAACAAAAACTAAAAAAATATAAAATAAAATGAATCTGAATATAATAAATTTTCAATACTCTTTTTTCATGAAAATTAGTCATTTTAGAAATATTTACTTTTCAATTAGATGGAATTTAGAAAAATTAAAATAATCATCAGTCAAAAAGTGACTCAATAACAATAAGTATAATTTATTTTAAGCATAAAAATAATTTATATAAATATATTTCAACATTTTCTTTCACAATACGATTATTGTAATTTTCACAACCTCTTACTCGGGAAATCTACAGCAATAATCAAAGCAATTTCCTAAGTGGGATATTAGATTTTATTTTATAACTATTTTAGAAATTGTGACAAATTAGACACATGTATATTTATGTATGTATAGTAATCTATTAGCATTAATATTATTTATTTACAGACATAGTTTCCTAACATCTACTCTAATATAAAGGATTTAGTGCAAGTTTTTGTTCGTTGGTTTTAAAGGATTAAATAAGAGAATTAGAAAGGATCTTGAAATTATTCAAAATGAATATAAGCATGATTTATAAGCGCAGCATGATTGTATAACTATTTAGGCTCAATACTAACTTAAATTCTATAAAATTGATAAATGTTCATAGCGCAACAGAATTACAAAATTAAATATTATTTATAATTTAACTATAAATAAACTATAATAGAATATTCAAAAAAGGATATACACTATTTCCATCTATTAGACTAAGAGTTTTGCAAATATGAGATCAAAACAGAAGAGTTTTTATTCATTCTTCAAAATTAGCGTTATTTTATAGGAAAAACAATATTCTGGCTAACAATAACTTTTAAGAATACTAACAAACATATTAAGAAAAAGATTTACAAAATACTTAAATTAACCTATTTAAAATGTTTCAAGAAATGATTTATGAAGGTATAAAATTAGGTACAAAAGAGAAATTGAAACATACAAATGATAATTATACATGTAATGGAATGTTAAATAGAAATGTTGAAAATATACAGTCATTAAAAAAATATTTCTATATATAAATTTAAATTTAAAAAAAGCAATAGCACAAACCTATAAAGTCAAAATATGAGTTAATATATGGTTAAAAAATTAAAAATTTTATGGTAACTAAAAAAAAGAAATAAAAAAAAAAAAACACCACTATCTTCATTGATTATATGCTCGACAAGTAAAAAGATTATTATATGTTCGACTATCAGACCATAGGTTTATAAAAAATCACTCGGAATCTTTGGAATTTCAAATTGTTGGGAGAAGATTCAACTAATTAACTAAATAACCAGTTGAGACTAGGAAACGTTCCTTGACTAGACACTGTTGAAGAGATGAACATCGAGTTTGAGTGTCACTTCACCAGAACGAACCTCGTGAAGTTTAAGCACTTTTGTGATTGGTCCATGGCCTTGAGAACGAATCGCACTTAAAATATCAGAAACACAAAGTTCAGTACGACCGAGAAATTCTGAAATTTAAAACAGAATCGTACATTAATAAAATATTAGTCAATTGAATAAATAGTTAACCATAATTACTCTGATTCAATAGTATTAAAATTCAGTTCTCAAAATTAATTAATTTCTTAAACCAAATAACTTTCTCTAAAAAGCAAAAATACTAATATTAATAATTGTTTCTTCCATTTCCAATACAGTAGAATCCCGATAATTTGTATAGTCAAGAGTCTGCCAATTATTTAAGAATTATCAATATTTCTAATAATTATTACATCCACATTACAAGCTCATCCTCAAAACTGCCTAGTAAATAACATCACTATTTCCTTTGGTAGGTTAAATCACAACATTAACATCTCTTAGTACAATTTTTATCAGAATTCACCGAATATTAAACTTTCCAACCATGTTTCCATATTTTTAAAAAAAACCTTGGTTATTCAGACTTTTCTAACATATGTAGTCTTAATTTTTCTGATATATCCATGTTGGTGACCAACAATATGGTTACACATTTCCCGTGGTATTGGGCATTATTTCTTAAAACATACAGAAAGTTTGGATACAAAATGTATACATAAAATATTTCTAGACTAATATGAATTGATCATTTCAAACAACTGTTTTTTTCACTAACAACATACATCCTAACAAACACCAAATACTTTCCCCATAAAGCATCTTAAATTTAATGTGCCATTTTTTGAAACAATAATACCAACCATTACTGGTTCAAAAGTCTTTAGTTCTCATTTTGTCTTCACAAATTATAGTTTTTTTTCTTTGAAATGTTTGCTCCAATCAGCACATTGATGCATGAATAGACCTAGATACAAAATGCTGGCAATATGACTGTTCAGGGATCAACCCCTGAAACACTAAAAAAAAATAAAAAAATAAAAAAGAAGAAAATATTTCTATATAATTCTGGACTTCACTATCATTTTATTGGCCTCCATTTTGAAGTCAAATTCTCCTGCACAGTTAATCCTAGGCAGCAGTAAAGTGTGCACACTCATTTATTTTTTTGGCCAGACATTAATTAAAGAAACAAGATCTTCTGAATCCAAGTGAAACAGCCTGGTGGAGGAAGTATGGGGAAGAAGAGGATGGCAAGAACTCAATATCATTTTTTAAACAGAACATGAAATGAGCCCACATCCAACATGATAAAACTTTCAACCCTACAAAATTGTAATTTTTTTTTTTCTTTCATCAGCAATTTTACCTTCATTTCTAAAATTATATCAAGTGTACAAATTTGATTTGCATCCGTTATATTTAACACAATCATTTGTTGGTCCAAAAATATTTAATTTCAGTGATCCAAGCCCCATACAGTCAACACCAATTGATACATGAACCAACCTAATATTACACACTTATAGGTCAATGGGTAATATTTGACTCATACTAAATTATTGTGACAATACAATGATATTGATGTTATCATGTTATCCCATCAACAAATAACATGTTGCAGAGAAACAGAGCAACTTCGGACAGCACGGCATCAAAGAAATTTTTTGCTTGTAGCTTGTATCCCTGTGGCCCATTTCATATACAAAACATCGCCTGATGTTTATGATGTCAACAAATGGACAAAAAACTAGTAGAATTGAATCAGGTAGGTTATTATTATTACTTATTCCTTGTAAATACTATAATAATGATTTATTATATTTTGTATATGATCTGGATGAAGAGCCTCATGATTGATTGAAATGCTCACTCCTGCTCCGACATTTCGTGACATCAATTGTAAGGGGTATCAGGAGATATATTTAAAGAATGATGAATTATTAAAAATGGCGTCTCATTTTGAAATTAATGTAGAAAAAATATCCAAAACAAAAAATCTCTTCAAAATCAGATTTTGCAAATCTGATGAATTGTGGGATGAGCTAACACCATTTAAAAGTAACACTGACATAAATTTGTTGCCATGGCTTCTCCCTGCTACCACTTTCCTTTTTGTTTTTGGTAGGCAGTTATAATGATCAAAGTAGCACTAACAACAGCAGTAAATGTTTCTTCAATTTTTAATTCTGAACTGAGTTAATTCTGGCCGAGAAACACTAATGAAAACATATTTACAGATACATCCAACACTCATCAACTATTTACAAACATTTTGAAACCTAATCTGTCAATATCTTTAGATACCAAACATTAGGAGTTTATTAACCATATTTTTATTTGAAAATTTGAATAATAAGATGTTTGAATTACATAGAAGACGAAAATAAATATGAATTATTGAAATGATTGGATTGCATCACTTTATACAAATTAAAGAATGATTTTCTTGGGACTAGAAAATTTGTACAAATTATTAGTATTTATGAATTAAGAGGCTACAAATTATAGGGATTCTACTACAACAGTGTCCTGTGATGGTTCGAATCCATTATGTAGTCTTTCCAGATCAACCTCCTTCTAAGATACTCCCCTTCTGCTGTGGTGTCTCTCAGGGCACCTCCTTATCTCCAACTCTGTTTGGTACTTAGATTAGTGACCTTCCCCCTCCTGATACCTCACACCCAATACCACATATATGGCAACGAATTCCAAATATACCTGCCTTTCCTCCCTTCTGACCTATTAGCCACCACAAACCTTCAATAAAGCTTCAAGAAGACTTAAATAGAATATGGGACTTGGCAGGAGCTAACAAGCTGAAGTTGAATGCAGAAAAGACAAAGGCAATCCTAATAGTCTCCAATCACCTCCTTAAAGCTGTTCCTAACATTCCAATCCTGGTCCTACATGATAATTCCATCAAATTTTATCCCACCATCAAAAACCTTGGAATAATCTTTGATAAAACCCTTTTCTGGAAAAACCATGTATCCATTATCTCCCGACATACTTTTTCCACCTTAAAACATTTAAATAGCCTCCGTCACCTTTTTCCTTTTGAAAACCGTAGACTTCTGGTCACCCCCTTAATATTTCACCACTTTGACTATTTCTGCATGGTATATGGAAGCGTCTCTGAGGATCTCAAGGGGAAACTAAAACATTTGATAAATTGCTTTGTAAGATTCATCTTCGGAATCCCAAGGGACCCCTGTTTCCTGTTTTTATGAAGAGTTGAAGTGGCTTTATCCTTCCTTTCGCCGTAAGTATTTCCTGGCATCCTTCCTCTTCCAAGCCATTCACTCTCGATAATCGATTTAAGTTAGAAGATAACTTTTTTTTCCATTATACCTATTAATTAATTTTGTAAATACATTTATATATATCTGAGGCTCAAAAGTCCACATTTTTGTCCTTGTAACTTATTCTAAAGGGATTTGTCCCATCATAAATAAAAATATTATTGTTATCATAGATTAATCTTTCCACTTGCCTTAAATTAGAAAACATAAATAATTAAATTATAAATAATAATTAATAATCTATATAAATAAAATAAAGATGTTGTCTATATATTGAATAGAATCAATCGTTTTACAATATCTTTCCATTTTATATATTGCAGACACCAAATCCACTTTTAAAAAAATTTTTGTCTGCACGAAATTTTGTCAGGAGTAAGCTCAGCAATGCCTCATTATAGACTTTTGACATTAAATTTAAGTTTGCTTGACTTAAAATGTAGGCTTTAAATGAAAACAAAATATTGAATAGAACCAAAGTTATGAATTCTTGAGTAATTTGTCAAGAGATCCCAGTTAGGCAGTTACTTCGCTTCTCATCCCAAACTACTCTACCGCGAGCCTAATTAAAAAGTTTACTACCCAACTGATAGAAAAAATTATCACAACTCAACGGGAAAAATCTGGAACACGTCACATAAAACGGGTAAAATACATTCATTTTTCAACTTTGTCCAATATTCCCGTTCATTGTGTCATTCAATTCAACTTCCCGAGCCTAACAAATGTTGTCGTATACATTTTTAGGATTAACCAAATGGGTTATCCGGAAATCAGGAAAAAAGAACTCCAAAAATTTCACCCCGCCCGCCACAATATTCAGATCCAGTTCTAATTTTACACGGATGTAGGTGACTCAATGTCCAATGTTATTTTGGTTATTGGTTGTTAGCGATAAACTCAGCAGAGTTTAAAGAAGTGGAGGGACTACAACTTTTTTTGATTAATTAATCTACTCCACAATCTCCTCGCTTCACCATAAATGAAAATTAAACACTTAACAAATTTTAATGGATCGGTGGTGGTAGCCAAATAACAAAGTTTTTGTTATGACTATTGCGAAACCTTGACTTCCACAAGCCCCGCCATACATTTTTTTTCAAAACGATTCCCCTCTTCCAATCCTCACCCAATTTTATGAAATTGAATTTGGAACCTCCTCCTCCCATAATACAAAATCCATTTAAAAAAAAGATTCTTAAATTTTAACTATACACCCGTCAACGACGAGTACATCAGCTAGTAATAACTAAACTATAGAAATACTATAAAATCTATCCCAACCTCAAATCCAACAAGAAATAGTTGATTTATGATTAGAAAATAACAAGTAAAGAAAAATTGAAAAACATTTTATTATGCCATTAGTAAGGAAAAAGTCATTTTGCATGACTTGAATTAAAGTGTATTTAACTTAACTGATATTAGTAAGAGTGTTAATCAAGTGGTATTTCAGAAAACTAAAAAATACTAACCATCAGGAGAGAAATTGCCTTTATCCTTGACAGTCAAACAAAGAACATCTTCTTGTAAGTCTTTGACCAAGAACTGCATGGATGTGTTCCATTTCGGATCAGAACCATTCGGTGTTGGTACTGCAGGTGTTCTACTTTCTTGACTGCCCATACTGACTTCGCAAAATACTTCACGATGAACTACAGTGGAAAGAACTTGATTAAAATCATTGAAATCAAAATTTGTCTAATAGTTTCCACCATGTTTGATTCATACCAGTAAATATGATACAATATTAAAAACATACAATAAACCGTACTCGTCATTTGAATCAAAATAATTTACATTTATCTACTTATGTTTATGTAATATATATAATGTTTAAAAAACATATACAAATGTTTCTGTAGATAAATTGTTTGAAATAGGTCATTAAAAATTATAGTAATTTCAAAACAATGCAGAATATAATAAACAAAATAATCATTTTCTTGCAATATTTTTATTTATTTATTTGAATATTTTAATAAAGGAATTTTATATAAAAAATAAGTATATAATTGAAAATTCAAATGAGAGGATCTCAGCCATGGATGAGCCATAAAATAATCCGACAATAAATTTATAAAAGTATACATAACATCAATTGTATTGTAGTTCAGTTAAACGAAATAATACAAAAATTATTTAAAAAATTGTAATATAAATAAATTCATTTATTTATAAGTAATATACTTCTAGATTTATTCCTTCAGTACAACCACCTTCAGTTTTATCTGTAATTAAACTCGAGAACAAGTATGTACCCAAGGTGATTGAGAACTCCTCATTTAGACCAATTTTGAATAATCTTATTAGTGATGGGTCAAAATTGAAGCTTCATTCAAGTAAGAATATATTAAATTATCAAAAATATTGCATGAATATTTCAAAAGTAAGTTTTTTTAAAATCTGAGTCAATTATTTAAAAATTATAGTTTATAATACACACAAACACACATATATTTATATTGTTAATATTTCAAACTAACCTGTTACTTTTATTATACGATTTAAGGTAGATAATTTAGTAATAGTATTAGTGAATTAATAATATTTTAGCTGTTGGTATATTGAAACATGAGCAAATCTATACAATCCATGCTAACATGCAATAACTATCAACTACCATATATAAGTATATTATTGATAAAAACAAATTTTCACAAACAGAATATAATAATTTTAATATACATGCTAAAGCATTTAAATAAATCATTATGTAAATAGACAAATACAAAACAGTAAACACTTGTTTGGAAACAGTGAATATAAATAAAAATATAAATGTTACTTGGTTCAAAACCGATAATCTCCAAGTTACTTTACTGATTGCTTTGAATTCTTTGATAAAACCTTCCAATCAAATTAAGAATTGTTTTTATATACATTTCATTATCCATCCAGCCTTTCACTTCAAAATGGCTTAAAGAGAAGACTTAAGCCAAGTTTCATTAAAATTGTTACAGCCATTTTGGTGCTATAACCTATAGGCCATCTATCAGTATAATCGTCACGGCTGTAACTATTTTACTGAAAATTGGCTAATTCTTCTTAAAGTCCTTTTAATTTATGTATTCAAAATATTTTGCCAAAAAGAGGCTGAAAAAAAGTAATGATGGTTTTAAAATTTTATTTGCGAATAACTTAAAAGTTACACAAATGGCACTGAGCTGTTTTGTATTGTAAGCACAAATTAAAATGTATGTACAAATGCATACGAGTAGAAAAATATGTTGGAAACATGTAAATTCATGTATTTTTTCCTTAAATTTTTAATTATGATTATGGTCGAATTTCAATCACTGGATGAACCCTAGTAATAATAAATATGCTTTTTAAATAAGTAAGCAACTGAAATTAAAGTTGATTATGGTGTTATAACTTTTACAAGTATAAGGAGGGGAGACAAAAAGTCAGAAAATGAAAAAAAAAATTTTTATATATTTTTTAGGGAACTCCTGTTATTTGTTGATTTAATGCTAATCTATGATTAGAATCTGGAATTTCGTTTTTTTTTTTGTTGCATTTTTAATTGTTTTTTACTTAATTGAAATAATCAAAATATGAATTATATGTACATGTCTGTATATGAAGCACAAGTAGAGAGTAATGACCAGCATTAAATAAATCCTACCAATTCCATACTTGGTAGGATGCTTTTTGGATATAAGAAGTATAGTCAGTATCCTTAACCTTTCAGAGCAAACATTTCATTTAGTGAAAATTAAGAACATAAATAGTTGAAGAAGTAGCCATAACGTTTTTTTAAACCAATTGTCTTAAAATATTTATGAAAATATAACGTCTTCCAAACTAACTGTACACTCTGTACAATCAAATTCTTGAGACTATACTTAAAACAAACAATAATGCAACAAACTATATTGAAATGTCAAGGACAAGCATACAGCAAAGAAAGAAATATTAACAAAAGTATCATGAAGAACACAGTTTTCTATTACACAAAGCACAAATTTAAAGCAATGTACATGCACACTATTGTCACTATTGAAAACAATAAAGAAAATTTATAACCAAGACAAACACAACAATGCTTAGACTTATACAAATCTGATCCAAAAGAACGTTTCAGTTTGCTGTAACTGGTCACAACCAGGTCTTCGCCCCGACATACACATGTCATACAAATGTAAAATATATTTAAATAATAATTTTAAGTCATACCTCCACGGAACGAACTTGGTTCTAGAAATCTGCCTTTCATGATGATTAATTTAAGCATACATTTCGGTGGCCTTTTCCGGACTGTTTACAACATGCAATGAATTAAATTCCTTATCTTTAGATTATATAATTAATTTAGGATATGATTAATAAATTAATCAAACAAAAAAACATAATTTGTTAGTATAAAATTCTCACCTGTGGTTCTTGAATAACATTGGGAAATGCACTATGTGCATGGAATTATGAAAACAATTTCTAAAACTTCATATTTATTCAGTTTTAATTTCATAATAGTTTACATTTCTAAGCATATTTCTTCACTCGTTACTTATTGCACAAAAAATAAACAAAACTAGAAACTGAATAAAAATTTTCAATTTAAAAAGTTTTGTGTAAAAATTTAAAAATATCGATAGGGAAAAATATTAATCAGAAACTTTGCTTTATATTAGAAAGTAATTTCCTCTAGTGAATGAGTATGTACCGGGACTGTATTGCTATGTACTACCCATCTCTCTTTCGAACCATTAGAACTATTTTATACCAGCGTTATTGAACATATTTCTTACGATAGTTAACTCCTAACCAAAATTTATAAGCATGTGATTTGATATTTTTTTAATGCATAATAATTATACTATAAAACAAAAATTGATAGTATAAAAATATATTATTCAATTATTTTAATACACTGGAGACTACAAATTTAGTTTCAAGTGATTAGCTATTCGTGGTGTTGGGATAAATAATGTTTAACAATCGAGTAAAGTCCAGATGATTTCAGAAAACAATTAATAACTGTAGCATAATAATACTGTGACAAGTACTATGGATAGTAATATATAGGTTTCAGTAAAAAGCTGAAATAAATTAAATATTATTTAAAAAAAATCTATTTCATACATTTTTGTCCTTCTTAGTAGATTTCTCAAACATGATCAGTTGCAGCAAACAAAATAAACCAATTATACTGTTGAAATCATAGTAGCAATTTCTAACAATAATTTGATGTCTCTTAAATATAATTCTATCAAAACATGGGTAAGCTCCTAAGCTTCAACCCTGACTCATCAATGACACCGGATCCATCTCTAAACTGGGGGAAATGCCATTGATGAGTTCAGCATTGAGGTTAGGAACTTTCTCATACTTATATGATTCCTCTACAAAAACAAAATAAATGTGAGTAAATAACAATTAAAGGTTGAGTGCTTATAATTAAATATTAACCGATACTGTTATACGCCCATATTATAAACATTATACACCTCTTTATACCATAGTTATTAGTATTATTACTCATCCAAGCATGCAACAGTGCAAATAACCAAAATGCAAATTCTATGCAGATAAAGTGCAAAATCAGTTGTTTAGTGACACAATTATATCAAACGGATTAACTTCTTCTGTTCGATAAAAATACCTGTTGTGATTTTAAGTTTACTTCCTTCCATGACAAACACAAGGATTCTGCCGACAGCGCCAAATGACGCTTGTTCTAAACAGATGTTTACATATATTAATCCAGATGCAATCTTCAATGCAGAAATATTAATTTCTCTCAAATATACAATTTTAAAATGGAATTATAAAAGGTAAATTTCTAAATAATATCTAATATATTAAAATAATATAATATAAATAATTAAAATAATTGCAAAAAACAATAAAAGAAAATACAGTAAAATTGATTTCAATATATGAAAAGATTGTTTGAAATATAAACTGCCGGGTATATTTTCTCCATGAACACGCCAATATCATGTCTGAGAGGATTCATAAGAAAAGTAAAAATAGTTTCACAAATTTAAAAGAAAAAGAGAACAAGAATTGTTTTTTTGTTTTTTTAAATATTCTGTTTTAAATTTAAAAAATAATAATACCCACTAAATAAAAAAAGTAAACCCTAATTTTGAATTTTTGTAATGAAAATTAATGACACAAAATTAAGTGATATTTTGTCGGTTGTAAACCTATACAAACAAGATAATGTAACCAATAAAATTAGTACCATAAACTATGCACACACAATTCAGGGGAAAGTATAAGCCATAAGAAACATTGCTCATCTTAGCATGTTATTGATGTGTTTACAATTACATTTTCAAGTTACATTCCTAATTTAAGAATGGTAAGAATTTTATGAGATATATTTATACATTGATATCAATTTTTTTTAAAATTTTGTTTCGTAAAACAAAACAATGAAAATCAATAAAAGCTTAGATATTTTAATATTTAAATTTACTTCTTACAGAAAAGTATTTATTTAAAAAAAATATATTTTCAAAATAAAAAAATAGTCATCACAATAAATGATCTATAAATTAATTGGCTCCACTAATAATAATATGTGATATTAAAGAAGAAATTGTTATCTAACTAAAATGAAAGATTATAATATAAATACAGAAACAATACATTATATCATAACTGATTAACTTATCTCTCATTTATCAATGTGGTCTTCCAGGATGTGTTCTGGAATAATAGAGATTTCAGAAACAAAGTGAGCATTGTTTCTCTCATTTCAAGAATGATTACAAAGTCAACTTTATTTTTCTAATTTCAAGAATGATTAAATACTTTTCTTCAGGAATATTTTTGTGGTGAGTAATGGAAAAATATAATTAACATTATTTATACATTTTTATTGAAAAAGTAAAATAGACATACTAATTATGAAAATTTAAATTCTTGGTCAAAAATAAGTTAATTTTTGTATTGTTCTTATCAAAGTACAACTTATCAGAATCCAAAACCTGTGTTCAGAATTATCAATATAAAATGTGAAAATAATTAATCTGATAAATCAACAAGTTCATAAAGATACATCTTTAAATTATCATAAAAATTTGAAATATTCCAAATATCACAATAAATTGTAATATCTTAGAATATAAAATAATGGAGTAGAATTACCCAACAAGGAGTAAAATCAACATTTATCCTAAAGTTTGATTACAAAACAAACCAATTATTTTGGAGAGAAACTTTTTTTTAGGTCAGTTGTAATTCAAGTATAATGTTTAAGCATTAATAGTGAACGGATCATATAAATAATAATTGAAAAAGTCGATAATTAATAAATAAAAGATATTTTTACAACATAGAACAACGGTTGTTAAATAAGAAAAAAAAAATAAGAAAGAACTAAATATTTTTTTTTAACAAGTGGACTTTTTAAATAGAATTCGTCATACAATAAAAACTTTTTTGTAGAAAAGAGCTAAAAACTTAACTTCAAAGAAATTAGTCTTCCTTTTAAATTAATTACTTTAAAGGATAATTTTGAATATTAGTCTTTTAATTTTTGCAATTTAAATTTGTAAAGGGTTTATAAATGTTATCAATATAACAAAAACCTAGTGTGCTTGTGAAGGTAATTAGGTGTCGGTAATAGTTGTCCTGGCATCTTATCTGTGGAAACAAATTCATTACAGATATATGTCAACAATGAGAAATTATTGTGTGGAATCATGGTATGTTGGTGAATTAAATCCAAAGATTACAAAAAATAAACTTATTTAAGTAAAATTTTATTGTCCTCAAGACAAATTTGTAGTAATCTTGGCTATAACAGTACATCAAAATAATTTATCAATTAATTTTAATGAAAGAACCACAAGTGTAAACTAATTACGAAAATAAAAATAGAATATAAATGAAAGAAATAAAACTCACTTGACTGCTGTCTTCTCAATTTGTCCCTTTCGTGTTCTTTCAGTTCATTTTGGGCTAAAGTCAACTTTTTTAACCACAGATTCTTCTCATTGTGTGAAGTGGCACTCAAATTGAATATTGTTTTATTGTACTCAAGACGAAACTCAACACCATTTGGTTCTCCAATGCTCCCAACAATATTTAAATCACTCAATAACAAAGGCTAATAAAAAAAAAAAATAATAATAATTATATATATCACATAAATATTAAATTATTACATTTTTTTATTTACAAAAGTGCCTTGATTCTCAAAATTGCCTGAAACCCAGGAAAGACCTCTCAAAGCAACAGTGGTACAGGATTTCGAGGAATAAGAATATTTTTTTAAAATTAAAATTAAGAACTTGAAGCATGTAACACTCAACAGAGTGGTACTTTTTTATTTAAGAAGCGATTCAATCTTTTATGAGAGGTTTGAGTGTACACTTAAGCAAAATTACAAGACCCGTAACTTAGTAAATTATAAACGGTACCAAATGTCATTATTATTACCAGTTTAATAAATAAATAAGATAATAACCTGTTTATATATCCTAAACAGAACATTCTGGTGTCTTTCAAAACTGAACTGACCCCCTAACGGCCTGTTAGGTTGGGCCAGCAAGAGGAAATCATTCATCAAGAAACCCATCAATTCTTTCCCACTTTTGGTCTAAAACAAACATTTTAAAATATATTAATAGCATTGTAATAAAAAACAAAAATAAATAAATAAACTTGAATAAATATATATACCACATACTTTTGTTAAGGCACTAAAATGTAAAAACTTCCTAGGTCCAACAGCATTTGTCAAAGAATTAAATATGAGTGGTTCTGAAAGGCGATCACTGAGCACATGGCTCTGAAGCCATTCCAGCCTTTCAGAGTTTTCTTTCTCGCGTACTCCTTCATTAACCTATTAAAAAAAAAAAATACAGTAAAAGAATTTCACAGTGGATTTTTCTTAGATTAATCTATAATTCTTATACAAAGAAAGATAAATTAAATTTTATTTTTAAACCCAGGATATTGAAGAATTCAATCCTAAATAAATTATTAACTGCTGCTGTGATTTATTTTCACATATATTTTTAGTTATATAGATGAAACATTGAGTTAAGTGTAGCAAGTAAAAGAAAAATATCATATTTGATATTTGCAATTGAAGGTCATTTAATTTTTTTTTTAATTATATTGAAAATACTTTAATTTTATGATTCAAGATTTAACATTTAATTTAATTTACTAAAAATTAATCTAATTAAAAATAAAGGAGAAAATTCAAAGTACTTTTGCCTGAGCATTTAAATAGATATCAAAACTACTATAATGAAAAAATCAGATGGGCAAATTTTATATTAAATAAATAAATTATTTTCACTCATTATTAGTGGATAACAGCTTATAAATTTATTTGTTTATTGAATAAAACATTTTCATTATTACCCAAAAAGTAATCAGATTAAAATATTAATTGTTATTTTATAACAAAAAATTATAAAGTAGTGTGTTTATTGGACAACAATTATTTATTATATCAATTTTTATTCAAATTATGACAAAATATTATATAATAACAGAGAATGGTTTTGTAAAATCTCTCAAGACATACCTGGCTACACAAGTCTTCTGCTTTTTGTAAAGCTTCTTCTAAATTTTGCCTATCAGAATGTTCTTTTGGAGTATATTCCAAGATCTAAATAAAAGTATTATAAATGGAGTTAAAACAGAAATAAAAATAAATAAAATAAAGCAATAGTTTTATTCTAGATACAAATAAAATAATTATAATAACCAAAGATCCTCTCTACATCTTAGAACTCCTTACTCTACGCTCATCTATCCACTCCCTCTATACCAAATTTCAACCTCTAGATTTATATATGTCCTCCCGGAAAACTACTTTCTTCAGCAAATACTTTTATTATTTATGTTACCTCTTTTGGGCATCTCTATATGTCAATCTTCGTCCACAGATTACTTCAAACAATCCCTTTTCCATCACCTACTTTATATTCAAACTTCCGTAAACATGTAAAATCTACTTGCTTGTTGCTGAACATTGTATAATCCAATCAATTATACAATTGCAATTGCAATTAACATTTAATTAAGCATCATCTTGTATACTCGAGAACTAATGTTCATAATTATGGAACTTAGTTTTATAAGTTGTTGTTATTACTTATGAGACTGTAGTCTCAGAATAAAATTATTTTTTAATTCATTTCATTATTTATTTATGTTATGATATAACAAAGACAATTTATAATAATAAAATAATCAAATTATATTAAAAATCCCTTTTTTTTTTTTTTTTTTTTTTTTTTGATATAAACATAATACATGTAAATATAGTATGAAATGTTATAATCTCTAAATAATCAATCACCAATCAGATAAGTGTATATATTTTTAGCATGGATATCACATCCCCTCTCCTTCTTTTCTGTAAAGCAGGTGAATAAATGAAGAATCAATATGGCACCCGAAGAAAGAAAATTAATGTAAGATTTATGTGAGTTTAAATACAAATGACATCACAGTCAAGAAGTAATAAATAGCCTTATTTTTCAATTTTAAATTATTTATTTTTCAAATATTTCTAAAAATAAACATTAAAGTAGTGAGAAATAAATTTATTGATATCTAAATATATTAACCTTAGATATGAGAAGAGGGTATTTTGTTATCCTCTGCATCGGTTTAATCAGAAAAGAACTGAGGGGAAGTCCTTTGGTCTTTGGATCTGACTGGCATCTTTTCGCTAAGGCATTAAAGTCCTTGTTTGTTTCGCTAAGTGTCTGGAGCATAGCTGCAGCTCGTAGTTGACATCCACAAAAGCGCACATAAACCCTCATGCGAGGAAGCTGTAAAATAAAACCTCCAGTAAAAACTAAGACAATAAAAATACTAAAATAAAATAATTTAATTAAACCATTAGCATATCCAAGGTGAGAAAACATTAAAAATTTCACAAAGAGACATTAATGAATTTTGATTAAAATAAATAAATAAAGAACAAATAAAAGTATCATATTTTAAAATAGTTACTTATTTAGGTATGTTATAACTAAGAAAAAAAAATATCAGTATAGACATAATCGTAAATAAAGAACAATGAGTTAATCAAAAATTAGGTAACTGCCTGCTTGGAACTAGATTAAATAAAAAAGAAATTTAAATAAAATACATTTTCGCAGAGAATATCTCCAATTGTTCTGATAATCCCTCCTTTACTCATATCTCTCCTCACTCTTAGAGCACTATAATAAAAATAACAAAAACAAACGTTATTAAATATATTTCAAAAATAAATAAGCACAAAGTTAATTATATAATATATATGTCAACTCACCGCAAGAAAGAATAATTGCACTCCAATATATCATGCCAATTTATAAAAATTGTTCTCAGTTGCTCATTGGTCAAAAGCCGGCTTTCAATCAATGGCCTCTCGAAAACCTTAAACATTTATACAAAATACATATATTTTCTTAATATATAGGTTCATACTAAAATTTTGAAAAATTTACATGTCACACTGCTTATAAAACATTAAAGGATAATAGGTATTTGGGTAAGACACTAAACTCTTAACAGCCAGCGGGCTGAGGTTCAAGTTAAACTATAATACAACAGTTATTTTTTGTTTTAGCAACCACGGATCACCTCTGGGATTGGGAATCCCAATTAGACACATCCAATCTTAGCGAAGTGAATATTGAATCTTCAATGAACTGCAAGAAAAAGCTTGAGGTTAAGCATAAATATTAACCATATCACTTAAATTGTATAACTGTTGATAAAAAAAAAAAAAAAATGTTACTCCCTCGTTGAGTAGTGTACTCTAAGCCCATTATGGATGTTAGTCAATACCGATGGAAGTTCCGCAGGAGGAGAACTAAGGAAAATTTTCTCTCCAAAAATAACCATAGAGAAAAAAAAAACAGCTGTTCAAAATACACATACTTGTACCAGTACTAATGAAAAATAAATAAATTGTCATTCATTAGGTAGGGAAAATTAAAAAGTTTACACCTTATGAGAAATCGATTGTCATAGATGCTAAATTAATTAATTACCTTGTCTATGCTTAATAAATCAATTTTAAATAATTCATGACATGAAATAGTTAGATAATTGATGTATTACAATTTTTCCCATAGAAAAGTTTATGTTTCTCCCGAATTCTATTATCTTGAAAGTCTCCCCTTAAAAAAAACTATCTCTGAACCTGCCCCTCAGTTCATATCAGAAATACCCAATAATTCAAAACTCTTTAAGTAGCAATAGCACTACTTTTATGTAATCATTTAATTAATATATTTTATAACTTGATAAATTATTTTGTTCTACGTAATCCTCATCTTTTAATTTTTTTTTTTTTTTTTTTGGCCAAAGCAGCCTTCCTTCAGAATTTATTTTGTTAGAAAAAAACACATTGAAAATCTAAAGTATTGGGCTATCATCCTCATCTTCAAAATCATTCTAAGTAATAACACATTATTTTTTCATATAATATTATTTCTTTCTGCATTTCATATGATCCAGGGACGGTCATCGTCTCGAACCCTTAGGTTTGAGTCGTGTCCCTCATTGACTGCGGAGGTGCAGGCATCCTCCTGTACATTGGCAGGCAATGTAAAGCCGTAGCGATCGTAAGATTGCGGAGCCTGAGACCAATCGTGCTCTGAGGTCAGGGAAGCAGTGCTTCCCGACTAAATTGGTACTACGGGGCGTCGCCGGAGCCCCGGCGGCGCTATGGGTGGACGGCGAGAGTGCTTGCACTGTTTGGCCGTGGCGGTCGATGTGTTTACGACTACTCACTGCACGACACAGCTAGCCTTGACGTTGTTCAGGCTATCTTCTTGTACAATGTGCAGCGAGTGGACGGAAGTTATGGTAGTAGTGTTCGTCTGATTCCGTGGGCACCTGTTGTGTGCCTGCATTCTTGGTGGTGTACCCGGTCCAGGGAGTTAGGTTGGAGGCCGGTTAAGGCTCGCGCTAGGTATGGCTTCCAACCAATGCTCCCTTGGTCCATAGAGTACCCGGTGGTACAATGCATTTCATATGATACAGTTAAAATAAAAGAATCAAGGAGTAGTTTCATTACTTTAAGTTTGTCACATTCAAGTATCAATGAAGGAAGACCAGTATGGCAACAAAAAATTTAAAAAAATTAAATTAAATTGATTGAAAAATACTGCCCATAAAATTCAATAGATATAAATCCTTATATGATATAAAATAATTATAATTCATTGACTTACATCATAAACTATTGACATGTCATCAATGTAAGCTTGCTCAGTAATTATTAATTCCTTTATATGCTGTTGCCTTTTGTCTTCCTTTGGAACAAAATTTCTCTTCGAAGGACCATTTTCACCTTTTAAAAAAAGAAAAATATAATTCTTAAATAAATTGATTTATTAAAACTAATCTGTCAGAGAGTAGTACATTTAACTCTTTCAAATCATACCTAATTTGTTTAAAACATTTTTACTGATAACAGAGAAAATTGGCTATAAAAATACATCTGGCAAGAAAAATTTAAGAAAAAATGTATGTACTAATTCATACCACCAAACTATTTTAAAATTTATTTTTGTCACATTACATAAATTTAATTCAGAATCTTCCAAATGTGATTAAGAGTCCTAAATTATTTATCAGAAACAGTAATAATAATGGGTCTTGCTAAAACCAAAGGCTTGATGCCAATGCCACCAAATCTACCTCAATCTTCCCATGCATTGAGTTTTCAGTCCACCCCTCACATGTTTACCTCTATGATCAACAACAATTACCTTTTTAGTGATTTGTTCGTTGTCCAGTCCAATGATAATAATGCATAATTCAATTGCTACAATTGTATTATTTCAATTATAAATAATGGACACAGGTCATGAATTGCTGTTTTTTTCATGTTTATAAATTAATCTTAATTTTAAAACACCTTGAGGTATTCTTCTGTTAATATCATTAGATGAAAAATAAGCAATTGTCTCAGAGAGAAATAATAATAATAATAACGATAATGTCAAGTTGTTCTGGAATCAATCTATATTTACAAATCATACTAAACCCCTGTACAGTTCTAAAAATTGATAATAAGTAATTCAGTTCTGAATTAGAAGCTATTTGTAAAAGTACTAAAAGAAGGGTAGAAATCAGTTCTCCTCAGTACAGCAAATATTGTCAGAAAATTTTTAAATGTGCTTTCGAATTTGAGCCTTATTTACCATAGACTTTATGAGAATACATTGGTTATGTGAACATTTCTGGGCAACATCCAAGGAAGCGTGCAATTCTAAGAGCCACAAGCAGGGTAATGTGTTTCGGTTAAGCACTCATAGCTACATAAGATGTTTTGAAGAAATGGCTGGACCGATTTTTTAGTTGTATGACTCAAATTATTCAGTGAGATCCTCTAAGTGTTTTGAAACAGTTCAAGCTAAAAATACTAACAAATTATTTTATAAAATGTGTTTAATCTGTCCGTTAAAAGGAGTGTAACTATTTTTCAAGCGAACAGCTTGACTGATTCTTAACTTTGAGGATTCGAATTACTCAATAAAATCTGATGAATGTTTTGAAACAATTATTGAATAAATATTTCATAGTATTTTAAGTATTCTCAACTTTAAGTTGGTTTCATATCATGTTATGTGTAAGTTTATGATCACACTATGATGAATACAAATTGTCAATAATTAATAAAACTAAGAACGTTACAATAATAAAATTTGTTTATTTAAAAAATATGGAAATAATTCTATACATCTTAAGGAAATGTGTCTGCATATCTACTTAAATACCTAGGTCAATTGTTAGAAAATTTATTGTCTACAAATATTTAAAATTCGTGAAGTGACTATTACATATTACACTATTTATTTATGGCCTGACTAGGCCATAATACATTATGACTTCAGACAAGTCGATTTTATCCCATGCATCAGTCCATCCAAAAATCCAAAAGATTCTTCAAAAGAGTCCCAAGTTTCATTTGAGGATGGAAGACGATTTGTTAAAAAGATATGTTGTTCCAAATATTTACCAAATTCTCTATAGCTGACCATTGTTTTGTCTTAAAGAAACTGTATGACAGATTTTTGTAATTATTGGACGGATTTTGATGAAAGTTTTTTAATGGTTCAGGAAATTTAAATGTCTACAAAATTTGTTCTTACTCAAAAAGGAGAAAAAGTGTACCCTTTTTGAGTTATTTACAAATGTAATTTTGAATTCATCAATACTGCTTTTCAGGTCCATTTTTAAGAAAGTGTGTTATATTCATAAATTTATAGTGTTTCATAGGGAATACTTAAAGAAAATTCTTATTAATACTGTTACAGCCTTTTTAGTGCTGTAGACTCTAGAGAAATGAGGTTTTCCACTGCCATCTTGAAACAAAATGGCGACAGATGATAAGAACCCTCAAAGGCACCTCTCCAACACCAACTTAATATAGATATAAAATTTCAATCTTCCCACTTTGTCAGAAGGAGATGTGGAGATGCGCATATTTTAAAAATAGGAAAAAACGATTTTACAAGCGGAAATTTTTCCAAATTTTAATAGTATCGTTCCGCCTGTGAACCAAATCTATATACTGAATTTCAGCTTATTCGGTCAAATAGTGCCCACTTGAGAAGCCAAAACATAGCGGAAAAAAAATATATAACTGACATCTGTAAAAATTGTAGAATCGTGATGTAGGAGTTCCAAAACAGATAGAAACCGCAATCCCGCCTTCCGCTGACGACTTTCGATACAATGCAAATAGCCTATTATTTCCGAAGGAAAATAGACAAAAACACATAATCCAATGATGATGACAGTGGTATGGACTCTGAGCTGAGGTGAAAGCAACCAGACTAGGGGACAGAAACCCCAAAATCAAATGACCTGGACCTCCAGGTCGGGTATTGGGCGTGGAGCCAACCTCACCTTGTAAAAAAATCAACCCATTAATAAACCTAAAAATAGCAAGTTAGATGGAAATAAAGACAAAAGACAAAGGAACTTGGATTTGGATTTAACTGTTGCTACATGTAATATCCGTCCGATATTCCAGCTTGGGAAGATGGTAGAGGTATCGGAGCAGATATTACAATATCAAATAGATATATTAGCTTTAAAAGAAATATGATGAAATGGGCAAGGCAGAATTGGCAAGAAAGATTATACGATGATGTTTAATAGTGAGAATGTCAAGAAAGGAAGAAAAGGTACTGGATTCATTGTGGCAGGAAAAGGGAGATGGTGTATATTATCATTTGAGACGGTTAATGCAGGCTGAAAATGATACTGAGGGAAAGATTTTGGAATGTTACCTTAATAGCTATGTATTAATTCAACTGAAGACAGTGAGGACAAGGTAAAACTCAACTTTTATCGGGATCTCGAAAGAACATTTTTGGCACCTCCACGTTATGATGTGAAAATTGTTTTGGGTGATTTGAGTGCATAAATGGGAGAAGAAAGCTTTCTTAATGCAGTATCTGGTTGATTCATGATTCCTAGTGAGACAATTGATAATGGAAAGCTTGTTTGTCAGTTTGCGGAAGACAATAATATGGTCATAAGAAGCACTACTTTCCTACAAAGAAATATACATTTAGGAACATGGAAATCCCCATATGGAGCAATAACACAAATTAATCATGTATTGGTTCAGAAAAGGCATGTAACTTCAATTATCAATCTGATAGACAGTAAGGTAGATAAAGGAGAGGAATGTGTGGACTAAAAGTGGAAGAGAATTATAGGAGCTATTGAAAAGTCAGCAGAGGAGGATATAGGCGGGAAGAGTAGGCAAAAGAATGAGGAATGGTTTGATGCCGAATACCTTGAGATCCTGCGTAAAAGAAATCAGTGCAGAATGGCAATGTTGCACCACCCTACAAGAAAAATCTCTGTGGCATATAGAGAAAGTAGGAACAAAGCAAAGAATGATATTTGAAATAAGAAACTTAATTTTATGAAAAGAAAAATAGAGCAGATTGAGAAATCCAGAGCAACAAATGAGACAAGGAAATTTTATGGAGCAGTAAAGTGTATGAGTCAGGGATTTCAGTAAAAAATAAATGGATGCAAAAATAAAAATGGTGTGGTATTTGAGAACCCCCGAGTTCTAGATTTTCTAGTTTTAGATTTTTCAAAATTTTCTAGTTCTAGAGTAGATGGGAAGAGCACTACACAGAATTGCCTAACTCTAACAGTGAATAATGAATGTATGGCTGGCAGTGATGAGCCAAGGTGTATTGATGATCTGGAGCCATTGTCAATAGAAGAGGTGGCCGAAACGATTGAAAAATTAAAAAATAACAAAGCACCTGGGGAAGATATGTTGGTTGCAGAATTCTTTAAATATGAAGGAGAAGAATTGATAAGTCAAATACATTTACTGTTGGAGGATGTTTGGAGTAGTGAAATCATTTCTGAGGAGTGGTGCACGAGTCTAATATGCCCGATATATAAAAAAGGAGATAAACTCCAATGCGAAAATTACAGAGGAATTTCCCTATTAGCAGTAGCCTATAAAATATTTTCTAACATCCTCTCTGTGAGGCTCAACGTATTTGCTGAGAACAAACTGGAGGAATACCAGTGTGGATTTAGCAAGGTGAGAGGAACAACTGACCAAGTTTTTGTAATGAGGCAGCTAATGCAAAAAGCCTGGGAATGTAGGATTGGCCTGCAATATAGGATGTTGTTCATAGATTACCGACAAGCTGTCGATAGAGTGATAAGAAGCAAATTAATAAATGCCTTAATACATGAATTCCAAATTCCACAAAAATTAATAACTTTCAAATGAAGGCTGGGGTTAGGCAAGAGGATGCTTTCTCTGGAACATTATTTAATATTGCACTTAATAATGTTTTGAAAAAACTGGATTCACCTGGTTGCATACTTAACGCAATGGTGCAAATATGCGCTTACACAGACGATACATGCCTAATTAGCAGGAATTTGAGGTCAATAAGGAAAGTATTTGCAATATTGAAAGCCAAAAGTGAAAATGTTGGGCTGGAAATTAATCAAGAGAAGACAAAATACATGTAGGTATTTCAGGACCGACAATGAGGCTGGCCCTCAGAGCATTGAAATATGTAGTCTTACCTTTGAGTGTGTTAAAACATTCACGTACCTGGGGGTGGAAGTGAATTCTGAAAATAAAATTGCTGCTCAGGTAAGCAAGAGGATCATGGATGGAAACCGGACGTACTATGCCAACCTAAATTTTTTTTAATCATCGCTCCTCAGGAGAAATAAAGATAAGATTATATAAGACCTATTGTGACTTATCCAGCGGAGACATGGACCCTTTGTACAAGCACAATTAGTATGCTGAATATTTTTGAAAGAAAAATGTTGAGAAGAATTTATGGAGCTGTTTGTGAAGAGACCTGTGGAGGTGTCAAAAAAATTCACAACTATATGAACTATATAATAGTGGTGACATAGTTCATTTTGTTAAAACTAGACACATAAAATCGTTAGACCACATGGCTAGGATGGACAGCAGCAGGATGCCTTATAGGTCATTGTTCTCTACAATGTATTGCACAAGAAGGAAGTATTTTTGTAAATAAAAAGTTAATTCATTAAAATAAAACATGAGATCAAGATGAGAAAATCATGATTTGTTAAGCTTAATAATGGTACACGCCATATCCTTTCTAACCTGATTTGATTAATTATAATAATTTTATTGAAAATTCCAAAATATTGAAAAGCTAACAATAGGTGAAAAACACAAAAGTAAATAAAGTTTAAGAAACGTGTCTGACTTGACTACATCCATCAAAATCAGTCTGAAAATCAGTCAAAATCCATAAAAGTATGACATTTTGATAAAATATTCATAATAAAGTAATAAAAAAAAGTAAATAAAATCTGGAATATAGAATTAAGCAAACTTGGAAGAAAATTTCAAAGCAATATTATAATAAATAATAAATAAAGTTAGAATTACTATATACTATTATAAGTTAAACCCCATTATGAGAAAAATAAGATGGATAAAATTGTAGCAATGTCAGTTAATCCATGTGTACTCATGAGCTCACGATTCTTCTAGTTTTATAAAAGAAAAAGAAAATTACTTCAAAATACAAAAAATGATATGAAAAAGTATTTATTTGAGAATGAATAAATCAACAGAAAAGAACACCATCATTTTAACAGACAGTAACTACATAGTCAGGAGGAGATTTTAAAAAAAATATTTTTAACTTGTTAAAAAAAAGAAATAATTTATTATTATTTCCCAGCTCAAAATGATGCTGCATAAAATAAGCCTTTTTAATGCCTACTTATTGTTTGGAATCTGCATGCTTTACACTGAGAACTGTTTTGTTAAATTTTATTTGTGTAAACCCCTCTTATCACTAGCCAAGAACCGTCACTGAATTGTAAAACAAAATATTTTTATAAATAATTACAAATTTATTTTAATAAATAATATTTACATTCAAAAATTAAATACAAAATATAAAAGTTATGATTTTATTGAAAGAATATATCGACACAGAAAAGATATTAAAAAGTAATTTTAAAATTTTTTCGTTGTCTACAATCTTTGATGCCTTTGTAATCCACATGTGTCAAGTACTCACTCCATATTCAGTCAACATGCTTAATTCCTTAATGTGTGATTAACAAAAATAATCACTAAAAACAACAATTTCATTAGCATTTCTTAATTAATTAAAGAAAATCATTCAAAATTATATTAAATAAATATATAAAATACAGAAACAGAAAATATTTAAAAACTAAAATCACTTGGCCAAAAACATTGCACAGTAGTTGTTTATGCTTGAAAATCTCAAAATAATCACTATCAAATCATACATATTTAAGAACATTTTATGTATGAAAGCTTGTTCTAATCTTTGCGCTCCTATTCATTTGGTCCCTCCATTACAAATATTCTCAGTTGTGATTTCTTATTTCTCCTTTGGTAAATAACAAATTCATTCATATTTTATATTTAACTATTTTTTTTATCAGAGTTCAGCATGAAATGGTTAATTATTTCAAATAAAAAAAAATAAAGGTACTTTAAAAGAAGAAATAATGAAAAATAGCCATTTAAGCTCTGCTAGAGAACATCAACAAGATTAAAGCCTACATTATAATAAAAACTGCTTAATTTTATACTGATATCATCAATTTATTGAAATTTGTTAGAGCCGTTTTCGACATAAAATCTTAAAAATGTGTTAAATCGATGATATGAAGTGCCACTTCTGGTTAGCCGATTTTGACAAAAAAGTTGCTGTAACTCCCAGGCATATACAGGACTTTTTTTTACGAGCTACTCTGTGTTAAGAGTGTGTTAACACACACATACCATTTTGTGGGACTTGTTTATTTGGACTCAGAGAACCTCAAAAGGTGTATTTCTGTTGAAAACTGAGATTCGAGGAGTAAGGATGAGAAAAGCATTTTCATATGTAATAGTAACTTTATTTGTAAGTGTAAAGATAAAAGAAAATTTTTTTTTGTTTGACAGTATGTTTTAATAAATAAATAATTAAAAGTTGGACAAAGATTTGATACTAACATTTGCAAAATCCCACATGGACTAATAATTCATGAATCTATGGAATATCTAATAAGACGCACATTAAAAAAAAATACAGATTTTCAGATCATACTTATCATTAGTTCACCCTAATATGTCAGTAACAAAACATTACATATGGACCTACACACATCCATGGTTTAAGGTCATATTAAGATTTTATATGAAGAATGTTATAAAAAACATGACTACGATACATATGCAAGTAAACATCTGAAGTACATTTTTTTTATAGTTCAAGAACCAGAATAGTATCAATCTCCCTCATGCCCGACATACCTTAACACTTTAGTGGCCGCTCACAAATGTGTGTGATGGCCAGACCAACTGTAACCGTCCACTCACACAACATGTGTGAGATACTACTGTCAAGAGTTATTGATAAGTTTGTTTAATTATTATTGTAAAAATTAATTATTCAAACTGCATACATGCACAGCCATTAAAGTGTTAATGTTAAAGGCTGAGCGCCAGGTGTTGGTACATAATAAATTTAAAAAAAATTATAGCAGTGAACATCTACAAACTATTGCAAGCCGAAATAGTGATATATAAGTGCAGGAATTACATATTATAATACTTACTTTATTATTTACAATAATATACTTAGATATACTTAGAATACTTAGACCATTTCTAAACACAAATATATTCAAATTTGGTGTAAAACTAAATTTAATTTATTTATAGTCAAACAGTAAAATAATAAAAAATCAATTTAATTTCATACTAGCTCTCTTGAGAATAAATAGCTGCTTGACTTAATTATATTTTTGGAGAAGAATGACAGGTATAACTGTAAGCAGATCAAACTAAACAAAATAGGGATTAGAGTCAGAAAAGTCTCTCAATTAGTAGTAAGTATATTTATTTTCCATTTTGCAGTTTGGACCTTTTTTTTTAAATATCTTGTTCACTATTAGTTGCCTATAGATCAATAAAATAAATTATTTTTGATTGTTACTTATTAATGAACATTTCGGGGAATCTCTGTCCCCAAAATTAAGTATAACTTGAACCATTCACCATACTTATTATAATAACCTATTTTCCTATAGCACTAACCTATTTTATATAGCATATAACCAATTTTGGGGAATATTATATGCTGAAAGTGGGGACAGAGATTCTCTGAAATGTTCATTAATAAATAATAGTAAAAACCCAAGTGTATTATTTATTGGATTGGCCTATAGACAAATAATAGTGAAAAGATACTAATAAGTAACTAAGTAATCAATGTTTCACCAATTAAAGCATCATCAGGAAAGAAAAATATAAACAAATTGAAACCAAAGACAGTACAGTTCACATCTGCAGTCTAAAAAATGACAAATCAAAAAGAGATATTATATCACTCTAAGACAGTTTAACAGATACTGAAGGAAAAGGGAGATAACATTTAACCATATATTTTATATAATAAATACATTTACTTTTTAGTGATTGTTGCTTCCAACAGGGACCATCACTTGACAAAATGAAATATGCATGTTGGAGCAAAATAAAGTATTTGTTTTTCCTTTAATATTTAATACTTTTTGAATCTTCAGATGAAACACGCCGACAAAATAAATCTAGGTCAATGACAAAACTGTATAAGTCAAAATAATACTTTTTTTAAAAATTGGGACCAATTTAAAGCTTTGAATCATCCACAAATTCCTTAAATTTTGTATATTTAAAGGATTCAGTTAACAACTTTAACAATAAATTTTAAAGTGATAATATATTTTTCAACTGACAATTACAATTACAACAGCAAAACCTAAATTTTTTTTTTTTTATGAACTATTAAATGAAATATAAATATAAAAGTATTTTTAAAACTACTGATTTATTGCAGTTTTTATGTTTTAATTTTTTGTATTTATTTATAATAATTTTGACTGGAAAGTATCGCTAATTAAGGAGGTTTTGGTATATTTTTCTAAATTTACATTTACTAGTTTCCAGTCATAGTATAAAAAAAGAAACATATTAAAGATACAACATAGTATAATATAATATAAATTTAGTATAGATAGGATTCTGCAAACTTGTCATATAAAAAAAAAAAGAAAAGAAATGAACAAATTATTATGAATAAGTTAACAAATTTGAAATAAAAATATTATACACTGAATTTAAATAGTAAGAAAAAAAAGGAATAATGCTATTAAAATTTATTACTGCTTCCAGTAGAATAAGTAGCATAAATAGAGCAGAGTGCAGGTAAGTTGAGATACATGATTATCCAAACTGCACAATGTACATTGTGCAACTAATAATTACTTGTATTAAATAATCTAAAGAAAATAAATTTAATTACTCATGATAGTCATATATTTAATAAAAAGTAGTTTAAATGATCAAGTCTTAAAAAAAGTGCTATGAGCAATTATAAAAAAAAAATCCAATACTGGTAGCATAAAGAATTTCCATAATTATAGATAAATTAATGTGGAGGTTCCGACAGTTAGTTTGTTTACACTATATATTAGTAAAAATATAAAATACTTAATACGTAGATTCAAATAAAATACGTTTTGTTAGCTTTAAGCAATTCTCATTTAAGTAATATCCTATCCTGTTATTTAGTTGATTTCAGTAACTTTTTAGTCAAAAATAAAAGAAACAGGAACTGATCACTTCTATTTCAATCCATCAAGAATTGATTATAAGACACAAGACAAAGACCATTAATTCATGACAAAAACCTCATTCCCTTTCAGAGGAATTAAAAGTGTCAACAATTAAACCCTATGAACATGAGATAAAATTGTCAAGACATAACCACCTGCTTCAAAACGTATTTATATACAGATTAATAATAAGAGTAGTTCAGGGAATATGAAAATAGCTTTTAGCAATTATATAATGAAATACAAATATAATTATGCTAAGAGTGGTTGATTATGATAATTACTTAATAAATTAAGGAGATGGTGAGTGTGGCAATATAAATTAAACATAAAGTAATATAAAACTAAGTGAATGCAGTAGCATTGTAGACCTTCTGTTTCATTTTGAACCCACATTCTCCTCAAAGACAGAAATTTAAGGCTATGAGTTCATACCCAAATCTTACATCTTACAGCATAATTGATACAAAAATCCAATCCCGTCCCATTAGAGCTTGTACTTCCTACCTCTATCCTCCTCCTCACTGAACTGCTGCGTTTGACAAATCCTTTGCAATTCAAGCCACCTCCCTCTGGAATTCCATCCCTCCTGATATTCGACATGCACAATCAGCACAATCTCTCTTTCTTCTGTATTTTTACTTTTAATTAACTATTATTGTAAATATTTAATTTATTTATGATCACATATACATGCTTTCTGTACTTATAATTTGTTCTAAAGGGACAACAGTCCCAGAATAATAAAATATATTTTCATTTCAAAAGAAGCATATTTCTAACAACTGTTAAGAAATAAACCTCTGATGATTTGGTTAAATAGAGTTGGACGATTCCTAATTTTGTAAGAAAAAACATGGTTTCTACTATTTCAGATTGTAATTACGTCCACATTTTCAAAATAAGAAACCTATACGAAACTAAAAATCTTTTATAACTGAATCCAAAGAACCCTAAATTAAGCCACAGTTATAGTTATTGTAATAATTTATTGGAAACTAGAACATATAATACTTTATAACTATATTTCAAAAAAAATATTGTGGATCATAATAATATTATATTAGATACAAAAATATCCTTCAGTTATTGATTCAAATCTTTAAGTCAATATCATTTCTAAAGTAAGTATAATTTAAAATTTGTGAACAGACTGAAATATAAATTTTAATTTCTACTTTTATTATATTCTTAATATTCATCAAACTTTGCAATTTACTGTTAAGGATTGAGCATAAATTCATTATTTTTTGAATGAAAACAATATAGAATTAAGAGGAGCTCCTTGTTTAGTCTTTCAGTCCCAGTATATATACAAATAACTAGAATAACCTACAAATGTAAAGGCAGATAAGAACAGGAAGTACTTTGAATCAGCTAAAAATCTAAAGTTGTACAACTTAAAGGAGCACCGTGTTCTGTTAATGGTATTCTCATATAACACTGGACTGACTAGA